AAAATTCCAGTCAGAGGTCAGCAAATGGTGCAATGCATTTTTGTCCAGGTTGCAGACGACCCTATGAGACCGCAGGAGGTCTCTATAATCATGTGAAATTTAAATGTGGAAAAGAACCTCAATTTTCTTGTGAACATTGTCATTTTAGATTTTACCATAAACAAAGTTTGATAAGACATAGATCGAGAAAACATAGGAACCTGCAGTGATTTGCGTTAGAAAACTTTTGAGTCTGCAGCATCATCAGTACCTACGACATAAAGTGTAACCTTTTACACTTAAAATTATTTATTTATATTTTTATTATTTGTATAATGGAAACATTTACAAGACTTTTATTATTACTTGGACGTTGTTAAAATGCCACTGGCATATAATAAATTAAATACAATGCGTTAAGTTGAAGCAAGTTATTTACATAATATATTTGATCTAATAATTATTTACTTGTGTACGAAATTAGGCCAAAATTTTGGTCTATCGTGCCAAAATGTATATGTATTTTTTACATAGATTAAGTTGTATATAGTTAAATCAAGATATATTATTATTATTATTTTAATATTGGAGTATATTTTATTATACTGTGGTCATTTATGAATAAATGTTATGAAGATATATTTGTATGTTTTTTAAATGTTGAGGTATGTAATTTAATTATCTATTTCTTGATTTTATTTAATAAAACTATTTAACAATTTTTCTCATTAATATTTATTGTTTCAGATTCGATGCAGAGCTACTACATACATTGTTCGAAATGCAGCCTAGTTTTTACAGATATATTTCAACTCTACAGACACCAGAAAAAGGATTGTAATTTAGAAGAATTTAAAAATATATCTGCAGACACTTATAAATATACCTGTAGCAAATGTCTTAAAATTTATTCTACGTACAATGGATTATATAAACATGTTCGATTTGTTTGTGGTATAGAACCACAATTTGAGTGCCCCGTATGCAAAAAATTGTGCAGCAGAAAAGATAATTTGATGCAACATATAAAAATACATGGGCAATGAAGTTTAAAAAAAAGCGAATTATTTTTGTTATAATATTATGAGGAAAATCTATTTTTATATAACATCTCAGTATCATTCACCTTGTTATCATATCACTTCGATTTTTTTGACTTTGGCATGTTTGGAACTTAGATCTTAGTTAGGACTAATTGTAATTTATATGCTAAATTTATCATTTATTTACTTTTGCGAAATGTTTTAAATTAATTAGATAACACTTAACACACCATGTTAAGGGCAAATTTGTCAAGACTAAATATATTTGTATAAATTTATGATATTATTTTTTATACCTAAATTATAAAAAAAATCTTTTTTACTATAATCATAAAATCAATTTAGATATTAATTTACTATTTTTAGTTTTTTAGTATACACGCAACGAAACACATCTATTACTCAAATGTTATTTATATTTCTTAGAAAATTTATTTTTGTTAGTGTTTTATTAAAACAATTTTAATTTGAACATTTAAAAAGAGAGCAGTGATTTTTTCACTTTTCAAATAATTGCAAAATGTATATATGTTTTAACATTTTTCTTATTTTTTTCTGAAGACGAGGACATACTATGTTCCCGGAACGTAGCAATAGTTGTATAAAAAAATTAAATAAATATTTTTTTGGAAAAAGTTTACAAAAAAACAAAAGTTTTTTTATAAATATTATTAATTATTGTGAACGATTTGGAACTATATACATACATATATATATATATATATATATATATATATATCTGTTTCTCATTTTCTCTTTTGTTTCTTACACCCTGCTTCCACTCACTCTACCACACGTGCTGTGTGACATTGATCAGTTTTCATAATGCACTGCGATTGAACACTTACAATGTAGGAGAGCAATATGTGCTCCTTTAATTCGTCGTTTATATTAATACATTAGTATATTATTCTTTTACACAATTTCAGTGTTCAACAAATCTTATTTAGTTTTATAATGTGTTATAAAAATTGTACATAAAATACAAAATACAGATTTTTGCAATAAATACTATATCTAATGTACTTGTTTTTTCAGGATTGTAGTTATGCCTATTTCCTATATTGAATGGTATTGTGGATTTTTGAATTTCATATAATTTTTTTTAAGTTTTTTTAACTAACTTTTCAATTTGTTCTTTTCAGGATTCTCATTCGCTAGGGATAGTGCTTTTTCAAATTCTGGATTTATGACCAAGCAGACCCAGCAATCTAAAAGGACTTTTCCTCCAGAGCAGGATAGCAATGTCGTATGGACTGATGAAGGCCTGATGTACCAATGCCAAAATGTTTAAAGTTATATATGCATAATCAGAGTGTAAGACGTCATCTGAGATATGAATGTGGCCAAGAAAGACAATTTAAATGCAATATTTGTGGGTATAAATGTCACAGAAAAGAGAGTCTGAGGGCTCATTCTTTTGCCAAACATAAAATTAAATAAGTTATTTTAGTTGGGCTAGGAAATAATGTATAGTGTATGTGGATATAGAAAATTTTAGGCGTCTTATTGATTTGATTGTAAATTAAGTCATGAGCAAAAATGATTGGTTGAATGAGTTACATGTGTAATATTAGTTTATGATACCCATGCATCAGTAACATTACTAAAGGAAAATTTGTTTGAATCAATAACCATACAGATTTTAATTTAGGTTTATTTTTAGGTTTTTGGTTCAACATATTTTTTTTTAGCAAAAATGTTTTAGTACCCATATAGAATTAGAAGAAAATGAATGTAAAAAATTATGATGAATTTATCTCAAATTTGTATTTTGGTTAGTTGTTAATAATTATTAATTTGTTTATGTATTGTAAATAAATATTTTATCTAACTGATAAAACACTTATGTTGCTTGCTTATATATATATATATATATATATATATATATATCTATATAAATATTATATAAGCATGACAACATTTATATATGTTAATTTTAGTGCAACATCAATTATTTATTGTAGGTTTTAATTGTTTTTATATTGGTTGACTATATTTATTTTAGGATTTTATTTACATAAATCCTAATTTTAGTATGTTTTTACTATAAAAGTTATAAATATTAATCAAATTGTAGTTCAATTTTTGTAATTATTTGTGAAATCTACAGAAATCTACTGTTATTTTGCGATATGACAGCAAAAATTGAATGCTTCTCTGATTTTAATTAAAAATGTATGTACCTAATATTTTGTATTTATCATTTTTGCTGCAAATATTTTTGCAACAAAGTTTTACGAATTAAAATTAAATTAGTTTTTGAGTAATCACATCACTATGATAAATGCAAATAATCTTTGTTTATAGTCAGACAAAACATTAGACTGCATTTTATATTTATATTTATGTACTTAATTATGAAACTTTGAATGGCAACACATTATTCATGTATATTTTTCAAAATATTAAATATTTAAGGTTTTATTCATGGATAAAATTTCTAAATATTTTTTAGACTCATATTTATTATGTATAAAAGTACTATATAAAAATGATTTTTAGTAAAAATATTATAGTATTATATTAAATTATTTAAGCATCTAAGTAATAAAATTGTAAATTTGTACGGGTGAAAATATACTTTTATCAAACTAAAATCAAACTATATTGTATTTTACAATGTTATCATAATCAGAATGTACCTGTATGCATTATAGTAATTAACAATAAATAATTTCATTTTAGGGATTCAAGATTTGAATTACTATGGTTATGAAGAAAATAGTGTGTTTAAAAAACAACAGCATCAATGTAATCAATGTGGCAAAATATATTGTAGTCGAGGAAATGTTAGCAGACATAAAAAGTACCAATGTGGTGTTGAACCAAAATTTCTATGTGGGTTTTGTCCTTATAGAGCACGTTTAAAAAGTGATCTTGGAAAACATGTGAAAATTGCACATCCTCTCTTGAATTGAAGAGAGAAAGTCATATATTTACTACATGTAAAAGTACTAACCTTTAAAATTTTCTAGTTTGTGAATTAAAAACCTACTCGTGATGTACCTACTGGAATATATTTTTGAAAAATCTAGATGAAATTCCATTCGAAATAAAATACTTTAAAATTTATAAAATTTTCATTAATTTTAATTTTATTATTTTAAATTAGTTTGTTGGCGATGAAGAAGTAAGGATTGTTATTCTCTATTGTGATAGTTTTAGTAATAAACTTTCTGCAGGTCCTTAATCCAAGAAGATGTTACAAAATCAGTATCCTATGTAAAGTACCTTGTTCCAATTTACCTATTAATTATTAATTACAAATATATTTATGTTTCAGAGAATCCCGCTGCAAGAAATTCAGGTTATCATCGTCATGTAGAAGTGGCAGGATTATATCCTTTTCAGTGTAATAACTGTTCCAGATCTTTCAAATTTCTTCACACATTACAAGCTCATTTGCATTTTGAATGCGGAAAACCTCCGGAATATAAATGTCATCTTTGTTCTTATGCGACTTTTTATAAATCAAATCTTAATCGACATTCTGTAAGACATGTAAAATGAACATTTGCGCAGATTGGCCAGATGTATTAAAATTTCAAGACGTTTTCATACTTACAATTAGGATTTTATTGCAGCAGTGCAGTTCCATTTTTTTTTATTCCAGGCCTCTAGTTGTTAAACGTTTGTTAATATTTTAAGTAATAAATTTTATGTTTCATTTCATCATTTAATGGCTATTTGCTACAAAAGGAACACAAACAGAATTTTTCGAAAATTTTTGATTTCTGTCAGACATTGGTGTCTGGTGCTAAGAAAACGATACATTTGCATTATGTTTCGAAAGGCCTTGGCCTTGGCCTATTAGGAACAAAAACTGATTTTTTTTTTGGCTTACATATAAGGCTGACACGAATGGCTTGTCGACAAAAAAATAATACCTATAATAATAAATTAATATAGGGCTATGTCAGACATAAGAGTTCCGTTCTTTAAAGAATTAGGTTTTTTAATACATTTTTAACTAATTTTGGGATTATTGTGTCTGACATAGTTTACGTAGAATTTTTTAACGTCGGGCACTGTCATGGCGATTAATGTGCTAAATCAAATAGATATTTTTTGAAAAGTCCTGTTTGTATTTTCTTTAGTTGTAAATACACCAAATTGTAACAAATAGCTATTAAATTATTCTCTAACACAAAATTTATGATTTAAAATGTCAATAAACGATTAGAGAGTGCAACAAAAGTCCTGACTTTAATGTTTAATATTTTTAAGTATTCTGCCAAACTAAATTCTAATTGATGAGTTATAAAAGTCTTTCTTATGATATAAGTTGTAAAAAACGCATGATGTAAGTAATTCGTCTTCAAACTTAATATCATATATATATATATATATATATATATATATATATATATATATATATGAAGTATGTTTCAAAATGTTTTATCGTATATCATGTATACGATCTAAAGCTAGTCATATAGTTATATGTAAAATTAGTTTTAAACAATTTTTACTTTTATGATCTCTGCATACATAGTTTTGCATTTGTATTGATTTGTTGATAATATATATTTTGTTGAAATATATATTTTGTATTTATTTATTTAGAATGAAAATATTATAACAATTGGTGTTTTTAATTTTTTAATAATTTTATCTAACATATTTATTTTCTTCTAGGTTACCTGCACGTAAAACTATCTCACAGAGTTTTACCATTTAACCAACCATCTTCACATATGGTTGGTTAAAGATTCAAAACATCTATTGTATTGATTTAATGATAATATATAATAAATTTGTATCAAATATATGTTTTTTATTTATATATTTAGAATGAAAATTTTACAAAATTTGGTGAGTTAAAATTTATATTAATTTTATCTAACATATTTATTTTCTTCTAGGTTATCTGCTCCTAAAACCACCTTTAAGAGTTTTATCATTTAACCAACTATCGTCACAGATGGTTGGTTAAATGGTAAGATTCAAAACATCTATTGTATTGTTTTATTGATAATATATAATAAATTTGTATTGAATACACGTTTTTTATTTACTTATCTAAAATGAGTATTTTTTTAAATTTGGTAAATTTAAATTGTTATTACCTTTATCTAACATATTTATTTTTCTTCCAGGCTTCCTGCTCCTAAAACCATCTCACAGAGTTTTACCATTCAGCCAACCATCGTCCCAGGTCAATCGTGATGTTCTATCAACTTTTGTTCAAAATAAATCGGAAAACATGTTTAGGTGTGAAAAATGTAAAAGGGTTTATAAACATAGACACAATTTAATCAGGCACTTAAGATATGAATGTGGAGTTGAACCTAGTTTTGTTTGTCCACGTTGTCCATACAAATCGACGAGGAAAGCTGTTCTAGAATACCATTGTCGGAATATTCATAGTTTATTCGATTTGAAAATTATTCTTTCACAAAGCAAAAGTGAGAGTAATACAAGTTTACTTTAAATTCTGTTTTTTTTTTTAATTTGTAAAATTAAGTTCACAAATGATGGTGGAGTCGTTTTTTGGGAGCAGCTATGGAGCACGGTCTCTTTAAAGTGTGAAAGTAATAAATATAAATATGTGTTTTTTTCTAGTAATAGTTCTACAAATATCACCATACGTCTACTAATTTATATATTAAAGTCCATTTCTATTTATTCCTAATTTACGTAAAATATATGAAATATTAAATTTACTTTATATTTTTTATTTAGAAAAAGAAATGCAGCGTACGAAAGAAATTAAAAATTCCTACTACAAGTACGAAATAAAAAATCCGTTGAATGAAAAGCGATATGAAAACAAGTTTTTCTCTCTAAAAATTATCAATAAAATTGTTATATTTTATTTTATACCATTCCTCGATTGATATTAAATGTCTGCAATTTTAAGCATTTACTTGAAGTAAAAAAGATCAAAAAGCAAATCTAAATAAAAAATCCAGATTCACTCCTATATCATAACATCGCAAAATTAATGGATATGAGAAGCAATATGAAAAGAAAAAGTTTTTTACAATATAAGTTAATGTTTCAATAGTTCAACAAGTTGTTCTGTTTTATTTTGTTTTATTTTGGCTCTAAATATCTGTCTTCAGTTTTTGATAATCAAATATAAAAAGTGAACTATAAAAGAAATGGATAATGGTGAATTCTTTCACATCATGGACCTGTCTTCTGGAATACTAATAACAATTATTAGATATGTTCTCTGTGTATAAAATCAATACTATAATCTTGAAAAAATAAGTATGCTGCTGCAGCATAAAATTCTAGAAAATGATAAAAATATATTTATTATATTCTGTAAATAGAAAATATTATTATATTGTAAATTGTAGTTTAGATGTTCATTTTTTGTTTGTAATAATTGTTTTTAAATACATCATAAAATCTTTTATAGATCAATATGTATTTTCAAATATTGTAGTAGCATCAATAAATACGTATTTTGTAAATTAAATGAAATTATCAATTATTAATCATATCATCAAGTAAATAACTTAAACCAAGTAAACAACTTTTTTACTTGGTGTTACCGCCCGAATCAAAATAATTTGCTCCCAAGGGCTCAAATGCTTCAAAATTGATAAAAAAATCTTCTATAAGTTTTAGCTTTTAATATTGTCTTTCAGATAGTGTGCAAATCAATAAAAGTTTTGTATGGACATAGCATGGGAAAATTAAAAAAAAAAAATTCAAAAAGCGAACAAATAATTGAGTTTTATTAAACATTCGACGCTCTACAAAACAAATTCTAAAAAACCTGTTTTGCAGAGCGTTTAATTTTTAATAGTAGATGACACGAATTGTCACTTTTAATTCATTTGTCGCTAAGTTATACATAAAAAACATTTTTAAAATTTTCGAAATTTCTTCCATGCTATTTCCATACAAATATTTGATTCAATTGCGCTTCATCTAAAAGACAATATTAAGAGCTAAAACTTTCAGAGAATTGTTTTTTATCAATTTGGAACTATTTGAGCCCTTGGGAGCAAGGAAATTCGAAAATCTTCACATTAAGGACCACCCTAAGATATATAAGGGTATATGTATGTGTTGAAAATATGTGATGCCCTTGTAAAAATCGTTAAATCATGTTCAATATATGTAAATTTTAACAAAACACGGCTAAAATTTTACAATAAATGTTATTTTCCTTTATTGTAAAACTTTCATTTAACTAAAATGTATTACCCAATGTAAACCTATTCATTTAATATTAATCGAATTATTCTATTTTTCACTTTTTTAGATGATGACGGATTTTTCCAATGCAAGTACTGCTTTCTTTACTTCGAAACAGAATATCATCAATTTCACAATGAAAGATGTGCACTAAAATTGTTATTTGATTCTCCAAAAGTGAAACGAAATCCTTCTCAAATTAGCAAATTGGAAACCTTGATGTCTGGAGGAAAATCTATATTTCCATGCCCAAAGTGCAATCGTAGTTATAGTAAAAGATTTATTTTAAATCGGCACATCAAGTATGAGTGTGGCATAGAACCTCAATTTCATTGCCCGATGGCATTTTGCTCTTACAAGACACATTTTAATTATAATATAGGGAAACATATACAGCTGAAACATAAAGTTCAAATTGATGCTTCTGAAAACTATCCTTAATAATACAGATTTGCCATAATAATTAATTCGAAAAAATTCGATGTATATTGTTTGTTGATTAATTCTAAAAATACAAAATTAATGCGTTACGAGTTTTTCACTGCCATATTGTAATAATAATATCATTAAACTTTTCATTTGTTATGTTATTTGCTGTATAGGGGGCGTCCATTAATTACGTGAGGTTTTTAGAAGGAGGGGTCGTTTGATAAAAAATCACAGAATACCACTCGGGGGAGGGAGGGGTGTAGTAAAATATCACTTGATTTATTTTATACCTGAGTTTTCTTAAAAAATTCTAAGCATTTTAAAAAAAATCAACAATTTTACAATTTTTTTGCCGAACTAAAAATATTCGTGATGTTTATTGTGGGGGAGGGGTGTAGTTTTGATTACCGCGGGGGAGATGGATCCAAAAATCCTTAAAGAATCGAGCACGTGATTAATGGCAGCTTAAGATTTTTCTTGAAATCCCAGATATAGAGTCCAATTCTCCGATAAAATAGACCTTAACATTGCGTTGTCATGGCAACGGCTACGGCCTTTCTTCAAATAAATTGGTAGTGAAAACCGTCAGATGTTACGGTTTATTTTATCGCAGAATTAGCCCCTTAATATGATTTTAGATATATGTTGCTGTTATATTTTATACAATTCTAATTAATAATCATTATTGCCATTTACTGTTAAAAATAAAAATTATTGAGATAATTGGTATTATTATTAATACCAATTATCTCGAAATTAATTGATAAAATGTTGTGCTATAGCTTTATAATAAAATTATAAAGATTGTTCATGTATATAGTAAATTCTCTACGATATTTTAGAAATCTATAGAAAATAAATGATAACATTTTTCATAACAACTTCTATTTTTATAATAATTGCCATAATCTCCAAATTGTTAATTTATTTCATAATAATATTTAAAAATGAAATGTTTATCTGAAGTACGGCTTTAATTTTAAAATATCATCGTTCACCGTTTTCATTAAAATATCGCCTCTAATTTTTTAAGAAATTGAAGCAAACTATTTTTAAACTGCTAAAAATCATTATTTTACAATAAGATTTTTTAAACATGAATTACTAGTAAAAAACATTTTTGAAATGTTTATTGATTTGTTGCTTTTTCAAAAAAGTGTTTTTTTTTCTGAATCTCGTCATTTTAAAAATATCGAAATTATGTATCATAGAATAAGATAAATATTCTATAAAAACATATAGAATATGTTTTTATATAATTTAAAAAAAATATTTTTATGAAAATTTATATAATAAAATGTTTATATGAAATGCAAATTAAATATATGTTTGATTATAATAATATGTTTAAAAATATAAATGATTTATGATTTTTTGTTGTTTTATTTGTGTAAAATCTTTGTAATATTTGCGTAGCTTTGATGTATTAATTATAATATAAAGATTTGTTTATAATTTATTATGACTTTATTTAATCATGTTGATTTGTTCATAATATGATTTTGTATTTTTTAGCAGGTGATTTCACCTATGAAAAAATGTTTGAAAGTGATAATGAATTGTTAACATCGACACCAATTCACCGCAGAATATTGGATTTTGACGAAGTTTCAATAAAGCTTTTACCACCAAGAAGAAATTTAATAGTTTCATTTAGTGAATGGGATGATAATATTCCACTCGAAGCACTAAAAGAACGATTGCTGAAAAAATCATCGCAGAATTCGCAAGAGAATTTGTCACAAAAATTTAGGATGTTGTCATCAAACACCAATAGTCAAACTGCCGTAGAAAAACGTAGGAAGCTTTCTTCAAACGCAGATATTCTGGTTACTCCAGAAAAACTTTTGGAGCCAAATAATCAAGAAAAATTATCACAAAATTTTAAGACGCCTTCGACAAATAAAAATGGATTCACGAGTCAAGATAATTCTTCGAAGAAGTTGAGGACTTTTTCGAAAACGCCCAACAGTAAGCTCATTTCATGTTTCTTGAAATACGTCTAAAAGTTAGGACAAAATACACCTGATTCATCCGAACAGTGATTTATTCCTAAATTTTTGATGTCTAAAATTAAACTTTTATTTAAATTTACCAAATTATATATACCTATTTTCTTAGTTATAAATAAAAAAAATACTAATATTAATTTGTACCTGATTAAATTTTAGACAACAATGTACAAATTACTCCATCATCGAACAAGGCTGCATCAGATGGAGTTTCACCAAGTCCAAATTCCAAGTTTGTTTGCAGAAAATGCAACTGGGTTGCTTCAGATTTTAGTCAATTTGCCATTCATCTTCAAAAAACGTGTGGATGTGAAATTTTGATGAGATGTACTATGTGTGATCACAAATTTAAAGATATTAAAACAGACGAAATCAGCGAGCATTTCTTGATAGTTCATAATATCAGTATCAACTCAAATAATACCAAAAACAACTAGTCAATTAATCTAGTCATAAAATAAGATAATTATATTTATATATTAGGGTGGTCCTTAATATGGACATTTTTGAATTTCATCGCTCCCAGGGGCTTAAATGCTTCCAAATTGATAAAAAAAAATCTCTAGAAGTGTTAGATCTTAATATTAACGTGTAAATAGTGCGCAATTCAACCAAATTTCGTATGGAAAAAATTTGGAAAAATAAAAAAAATTTTTTAGGTATAACTTAGCGACAAGTGAATCAAAAGTTTTTTATACTTTTATAACTCCTTCATTTGTTTGCTAAGTTATATTTAAAAAACATTTTTAATTTTTTTGAATTTTTTTTATGCTATTTCCATACAAAACTTTCATTGATTTGCGCACCATCTAAAAGACTATATTAAGAGCTAAAACTTATAGAGTATTTTTTCATCAATTTGGAAGCATTTGAGCCCATGGGAGCAAGGAAATTGTCCATATTAACCTTTTCCACTCGCTAATACCGAGATTCATATGAATTTTGCCGCCGGCGGTATCCGAGTGCAAAGGGTTAAAGGCCTTCCTAATATATATATATATATATATATATATATATATATATTTTCTTATATTATAAAAAGTAATTATTTCAGTATTCAGATGATTCAAATTTAAATGAAATTATTACCTTATTAGTCGATGAATGCTGAACCTGAAATATTACTATACTCTACTTTTAACATATTTTTAACACGTTTACGTCTATATAATCTTTTATATCTATAACTTCAATTAAACAAGTTACTATTACTATCTTATTAGTTTATTATAACCTGATCTCAGATTTACAATATATCTCTCACTTATTAAGTCATTATCTCAAACTAAGTTTGTGAAAATGTAAAATATTTACCTTATTGATTTATATGAAATATTTACCTTATATTATAAAAAGTGATTATTTCAGTATTCAGATGATTCAGATATAAATGAGATTATTATCTTATTATTCAATGTATGATGAATCTGAGATGTCGCTATACTTTGCTATCTATTTTTCATCTATATAAACTTATATCATAAATCTATAACTTTAATTATTAATTTAAAATTTAAAATATTTCTTTTTTCATATAATATAAATTGTTATCTCTAACAAAGTTTGTGATAAAAAATAAATATTTTAATATTTAGAAACCTCACCAAAAATTTTACTATTTGTGGAATTTTATTTGTTGATATGTGATGAATTTATATCAAATATTTTTATATTATACATAAATTTACTATATTTATGTATTCTTAACTTTTACATAATTATAGTCCTCTTTGAAATTACTTTATATGAAAGTAAATATTACAATAGTCTGGTGATTTAGATATAAATGAAATTTTTACCTGAAATATTGCTATATTCTACTTTTAATGGATTTATTACGTTTATACCTATAACTTTAAATATAAAAGTTACTACGTTATTAGTTTATTATAATCTGATCTCATATTTAACATATTTATCAAGCAAAGTTTGTGATAAAAAAATAAATATTTCAATATCCAGATGATTCACAAAAAATGAAATTTTTACCTTATTGATTTGTTGACATGTTATGAATTTTTATAAAATATTGTTATATTCTTCATTTATTATATTTGTGTATGTTTCTCTTTTATAAATATATGGGCATCAACTATATTACATATAAAGATTACTTTGAGAAATAATAGTAAATATTTAGGTGATTCACATATGAATGAATTTTTTTCTTAATTATATGCCTAATGTGTTGAATTGATCTCAAATATTGCTATGTATCTTGATTTTTTTTTATGAATTCCTAAAACTATTTTATTATTATTCTATATGTAATAAGATGTTCATATATGTTCTCTATATTCAATATATTTTGTAATAATTTTTTAATACATTTTGTACTTCAGTATTATGTAGTATTAATTTTGGTTTGGTACATATTTGTATATTGCAATCATCTATGGAGATTTATATTTATGTAATATTTATGCTTATAAAACATTTTCATTGAATTTTTATCATCACAAAAATCGCTTAGCCACAAATTCATTATATTCAAGAAATCTTCAATATAATTGAGGATTACAAGAGGTTCAACGACTTTCACAGCTTTTATGAGATTTTGACTCTTATTAAGATGATTATATTATGATTATATTATGAGCACAGTATTAACCTTAAACCATTCGCTGTAAGTTTTAACTCATTTTAATTTACTAATTATATTTTTTTCTTTTCAGGTTTAGCGAGAGTGTGCCAAAACTGCGGCTTGGGTTTTTATGACGTGGGCAAATTTCGAATGCATAATTGTAAAAATTATAGAGTTTTATTACCAAAACTTGCTTTACCACCTAGTTTTGCTACCACGGAAGATTCTGAGACAAATAGATGTCCTAGGTGTTCGAAGAATTACAAACGGAGTTTTTCATTAGCTCGGCATTTAAAATATGAATGTGGAAAAATACCTAGTTTTCAATGTACCATGTGTGGTTATAGAACTTACCATAATGCCAATTTGAAGAGGCATTTGCAAAGACATATTCACAGTAATCAGATGGTTTAAAATCGGAAGAGGATTTAGGAAATAAGATCTAATGGTGTAGTGTTTGAAGGATCTATGATCAAATTTTAAAATAAAACTGTTGAGTTTCTAATTCTAATTACGTTGATTTATTCAAAAAACAATAACAACACATCATGTTGGAAAACTAAACACATACGATAAATTACCAAAATTAACTATACCAAATCAGCCCTTATTACTTTCGAACTAAATAGGTCTACCCGTGGGACAAAAAGTTAATTTAATAAAGACTAATTTGAGCGATATGATCTATGAAAAATTTGTGTGATTAGTTTGCTTGAAATATTGGTGCATTTGGATTGGCTGGAATAGAAAAGTCTATAAGTAAATGTAAAAAGTATATGAACAAACGAGGCTCTTATCCTTCTACTAAATTTTTGTGAATGAAAATTAACTAAAAAGTCTCATATGTAGTGAAAATCATAAATAATATATAGATTATTTTTGCTGCAGGAGCGGCGGCATCCGAGTGGAAAGGGTTAAGTTTTAATTTGTAGACAAGATTGACTACATTTTTAGTGATCCATCAAACATCATTAGACTCAAGAAGAAAATGCCATTGGATCCAATTCAAAATTTTATCCAAAGTATATTGGAGCAATTTCTACAATTTATTTCTACAGTATGGAAACACTTGATATGTGATATCATTCACCAGGAAATAACTTCTAGATATAAAAATGATGCAAACCCAACATCATTGACACAAACTTATAGTGCATTTTTTATAAGTGTCGAAACGTGTAAATAAATAATTATAGATATTTATTTATTTTTTGTACATGATATTTTTGCTGTATATAAATATGTTTATATACAGCGTTTATATATGTTAAAATATGACGAAAAAACTATTAAGTTGCATATGGTTCAAATTTTCTAATGTTCATATAGTTCTAATTTTTCAAAATTAGTTTATTTCTTGTAATTATAATTTATGTTAAGAATATTTATGATATGTTTTATGTACAACTATAAAATATTACAAATAACTTAATAATTCAAATTAATTATTGAAAATTTATTTAACTTATAACTAAAATATTTGTTGTGAAATGTCTGAACAGTAGAGATTTTATTTATTATATTCATTATATATGCGTATATTAATTATATATTATGTATGTGTTTTTTATAAATTTAATTGCTTTGTGCTATTCATATTTAAAGCATTTTTTTTTCAAAACTTTACTAAGTTTAATTAACTTGAATTGAATCAGTTTTGTATTTTAATATGTAAAATCAAGAGTTGCTTTTCACGCGCTTATAGAAAAATTAATTTTAGTTATAAGAAGTCAATGTAGACTTATTGCTAATAAGCAGAAATATTGTAAATATTATGAAAATACAAATCTTATATACAACGAAATTGTAGTATTACTTAAACACCGTGATTTTATTATGTGAGTGGCATTTCTTTTATATTAATTTTGCTGATTTTTTTTTATTTTTCAGGTTCTTTTCCCCGTTGCAAGGATGTTCTCAAGGCAATGAATTCCACAGAACCCGGAAGACATGCTTTGGACAAAAATTATATCTTTTCTTCTAATCGTCGTTTAGTTTGCTATACCTGTGGCAAAGTGGAATCTCAATTTTGGAAAAAACCAGGAGGGATATCTCGATACAAATGCTTACCATGCCAAAAAAAAGTGTCTAATTACTATACTCGCAGAATGAAATTATCTAATCTTATTTATGATGATACTTCGGACTAAAATGAAAAATATGTGAATTTAAGAAACTTTTAAATTTAATATATATTAGGGCGAGTCAATATAAGAGCCACTTAGGCACATATGATTTTTATATTCTAGGGATTAAAATAAAATATTTTTCTGAAGAAATCTTACCTTTAAAACTGCATTTTGATACCCCGACCTGAAGATAAGGGTTAAATTTTGAGAAACCCTTCAGGAGGGTGTCATGGGGTGAACCACGGGCATGGGTGGATCGGTCTCCAAAGTTAGAGGGGGTCGGTCATACATTTGGACGCGATTGGGGCTCTTTGAATGGAATTTTTCAAATTTTAACACTTATTTTTGGGTCAATGCACGGGACATCAGAATTTATTTTAGAGATATGGTTTCTTCAGCAAAGTATCTTATTTTGATCTTTAGTACCCGAAAATCATATGTGCCTAAGCGACTTTTTTAACCCATATAAATCGACCCGCTCTTGTATAAATTTAATACTCGTATATCTGTGATATTTAAGTTGGATAAATATATATTCCAAAAGTGATAAATGAATCTAGTCGAAAAACATGAAGTTTCGTTGAACTTTATGTTCTATGTGCAATAAATAAATTTTATATACATATGAATATAACTCATATTTTATAATTTGCTTTTATTTAATATTGTATTATTATATTAGCATGTCTTTATTTATGCATTAGATGCCTGTTCTTGACTTTGTTAGAAAATATAAACTATCAGCTTCGTATATCAGTATAGGTATGTAATCATCTATGTATTTTTATATTATTTACTATATCTTTATACTTATTGTTATTATTAAATGTTATTATTTTCCTTTTATTTATATTGGATGAGATTCAGGGGATTTGATTTTGCTGATCAGGCTTCATAAAAATATATTGATTTAGTTACTTAGCATATATTAATTTTGTCTTAAACGCTTATAATACTATTTAGTTCAGATTAGGCAATATGTATTATTTCAAATAAAACATCAGTTTATTTTTTTTAACATATGACTTCTGTCTATTTACAGGTCGCAAAACAACTGACTACTCACTGTCATACAGGTGTCCAAATTGCAAACGGCTATTTCCTCATATCGATTCTATTAGAAATCATTACTGCCGACCATCACAGTCTCAAATTGCTTTCGAAAATTCGAAAGATAAAGGCCGAATTTCACCTCATGTACTTTTTCCACTTTTGGACGAAATCGAGAATTGGAGTGTTCGTTGCAAGGAAAAAAAGTATAAATGTCCAAAATGTCCAAAGCAATATTCTCATGGAAGTGCCCTTAGTCGACATGTTAATAATGAATGTGGCATGGAACCAAAATTCAAATGTGATTTATGTGAATATAGAAGTTATAGGAATGAATGTATGCAGAGGCATATGCGTACTCATTCGAAGGCTAAATTTGGCTTAGTTCCTGGACAGAAGAATACTTTGTGATGGAAAATTAAAGCTTGATTGTTTATTTGACTCGATGAAGACAAAAACTGATTGAAAGTGATTGTTTTGAAAGGAGGTTTTTTCAATAAACCGACTAGTATAACATGACGCACTCCATACAAGAAACTAATTCTTCAGCGTTTTGTTTGAAGATATTTTAAAATAAATCTTATTCTAATTTTTTAGTTAATTTTTTAATTAATTTATTATAGTATATTTGAAAAATTAAAATGTTATTGTTTTCTTCCGGATTTCAATTCATTTCGGATATTGTGTTGCAAGAAATATTACTTTAAATTTTTGAACTAAAAAAACAGTACGCTTGTTTGAAGATATTTTAAAATAAATCCTGATCTAATTTTTAAGCAATTTAATAATTATCCCAGTTATTTGATGTTAATGTATCCCAGTTATTTTATGTTAAGTTAACAGTAATTTTGAAAAATTAAAGTGTAATTGTTTCCTTCCGGATCCAATTGATTTCGGATATTGTGTTGCATGAAATATTATTTGAAAATTAATTTAAGTTTCCGAACTAAAAAAACACTACACTTTTCGACTCACTCATTCAATAAAATATTATTTATAACTGAACAATTTTTTTGTAGGAACATATTTGAGTGATATTAGGGATAAAAAAGAATTACAAAGGTGCGATAAATACAAGTGATTTTGTTAAATCCATGACATAAATAAAAGTTATAATTAAATAAGTTAAAGTGTGTCGAATGTACTATTTGTATATATGTCATAGAAATTATAACATTTCCATAATTGATATTTACAATAATAATGAATTAAATAAATATAATATTTTTCAAATTCAATTATAAATAAATAATTCTGTTAAATAAGTAATTTTATGAATTTGTAAGTATATGTTAATTTTAATTCTACTGTAAATTTCAAGTAAAAAATGAGCCCTTTTTTAAAATAAGTTTTTTATGGTCTATGTGATTGACCAAGCCAGCTTAAAAATTCATAAAACTTCTATTCTTTTATTGCCATATGTTTATTATTATTAAGTTTTGTATATATGTGCTTAGTGATGTTATATTTTTTTGCTTAAAACAAATTTACGTAAGAGCTACACTCATGTTTTTTATTATTAAGATTATGATATTGCACTTGTTGTTCATATATCACCGTACAAATATTTATAATTAAAATAAAACTATAACCAAGAAATATTGAATTTTTACAACCTTCAATTCTCACTATTTTCTCAGCAAAAAAACTTAGTATTCAAACACAATTATTATTAATATTATTTGTATTTTTCAGGTAATCTATGGCCTCAGAGATTTCAATGTACAACTTGTTTCAAAAGTTATTCTAGAAGAAGTGGTCTATATCAGCATACAAAATACGAATGTGGCAAAGATCGTCTTTTTGGGTGCCCTTTTTGTCCTTATAGGGCCCATTTGAATTGGAACTTGAACAAGCATATTCGGAAACAACATCCAGAGCATAATTTTTAATTTTTATAAATAAATAAATAAATAACTAAATAAATAAATTATTAGACTCTCGTGTTGCCATAATAATCTAATATTACTTAGCAATTATGTTGTAGCTCTACTTTAAATTGATTTGGTCAGTTTATACGTAATATAATTTTAATGTAAATAAACTTAAATAGTATAAATTTGTGAGTAATATTGATACTTTAAAGTATATAAAGTATTTAATAAAATGGTATATCTTAACAAAATATTCGTTTATCTATATTATTTTTATTGTTTTGTAATTATTTGTAAACCGAATAATTTAAACAGAGAAGGTACTTCCAGAAGAGGTCGATTTAGTGCCATTTGATTTAGTTATTATTTTTAGAAAATAAAAGTATTTATACGTCTTTGTATAGTAAAACACTTCAAAGCAAATAAAAACAAATGCTATATCTTAGCTATATGAAGACATAAGTTTAAATACAAAACTAGACTAGAAGATCATCCGAACCAACTCGCCAAAAACTTGCTCTCATCCAATATACCATAAAGACTCAAAAAACTAACCTTTTAGATTTATTAAAGAACATATAATGTAAAGTGTTCTGTGATTTTATCTTATCCATTTTCAAATTTAAATTGTCTACCACTGGGCAAATTCTTAAATTGTTATATTTACACATGTGTCACCAAAATTACTGAATGCCTCACCAGACAGTTTGTAATTATATGGAAATAAAAAAACTTAACTAAATGTCAATATAATTATTTTTATTATTTTTATTGTAGGTATCGCAATTACATAGTAGCAGATTAGCAGTCCATTTCAAGATCATTGTTCAAGTTGATGTGTTTTGTTTGATGAAATTAGGTCATCTTGGTTAAAAACAACATTACATTAATCTTCACATTATAATTTGCATGCACAAAATAACACATTACTTCAATACTTCAATATCTCAACTAACCATTTTTTTTACATTTCATTCCAGACGTTGCAGATATAGAAAACTTACTGCTGAAAGGCATATCGTGTCCTCTATGTCCAGCAAGATTTCCCGATTTTGAAAAACTTCGTGATCACGTTTCCCAGCATCGTGCTCGTGCAAACGACGTGCCCCCCATGGGCTTCGTTTGCCCCAAATGCTGTAGGCGTTACACCCACCGATACACCTTGAAGAGGCACATGATGTACGAATGCGGCAAAGAGCCCCAATTCAAGTGCCCCTGGTGTCCGCACAAAAGTCACCAGAAAATTAATATTAAGATACATGTAGGGAGAATGCATAAGAATATGATTGATATGGTTAAGTTTGATTAAATATTGTTATTTACTGATTATTTGGCATTTTAGTAGCTGTTAGACGAAGATTATGAAACTTGCTGCTAGCTTGGCAGTTTATTCATAGAAATTAATAGATCATGTTTCGTTTGTTATAATCAAACTTCCCTCATTCTAGTTGGAGTTCCTGAACTCCACTCACAGTTCTGTCCTAAGTCGTTACTACCCATTATTAGGTTGGCAACTAAGTAAGTGCGGCCCACACTCTTAGATTGTTCCAAGTCAATTTTTAGGTTTTCTGATGTAGTCCAAATATAAAATATATTTTGTTATTATATATCAGACAATTCAGTTGTCAGCAGTAAAAAAGAGTGCACAAGCGATTGAAGTAAAACTTATTTGCTACTGTACAAAGTAGCAAATTTAAGTTAAGTAAACACATCATATAACAATTTTGAATAATGTTTATTGTTAATATGGTAACTGATGATGCACACATTTATTAGTGTCAACTATTATACACATTTATATAATGATAAATTATAAATTATATATTTAAAATAGCATTAAAAATGTGTATAATATTTAAAAACAATAAAGCAATTAAAGTCATTGTCAGCATTTAGAATTGAAGCTTCATTAGAGAAATGAAGTAATTGCTGATTAAAAAATTCTATAATATTCGTTTCCACAGTGAATTATGTTAAACAACGTCTAAACAAATATTGTTTTCGCAACTTCCCTCATAATTAACTTAAATTCAGTGACTGCTTGTATTTTTTTTACTTTACGCTTCGCGATATAATCTAATTCTTTGACCAGCTGTAATATCTGTCTTGCCTAAAAAATATTTTCCTTTTTAATAACTTCAAAGATTTATAGAAACTACAAAAAATATATAAAAAGTTTCTAATCAATAAATTTACGTTTAGTACACGGCACAAATGTTTCATTTGTTTTATTATTTTCAAGGAACAGGATAAAATATTCTTCTGATTTATGCATTTTTCATTTCATCAAGATTTGTACTACGATGTAACTTCAAAATGTTTATTTATCTATGCCGATTTCCTTATTGATATCGGTACGCATACAACGTTGACGCCGGTGCGCATACAACGAATCTCTATTCACGTACACGACGTCTAATCACAATCGACTCCTATAGAAATGATCTTATCGAGAGCGAATGACGAACAGTTCGGGCGTAACGGACTTGAATTTGTGAATTTGTGCGGATTTACGCACTAGTCGCGCCTAAAGAAGTTTTAGTTCAATAAAAACCAGATGTTTTTTGAAAGTGGGATAATAATGCTGCTTGAAAGATGATATAAAGTCATTGATCATAATGGACAATGCATTACAGAATAAAGATAACTTTATTTTATGAAAAATTTTCTCTGTTTTTATGAAAAAAAGGTTTTTGATTTTCTAACTAATAAAATTTGCTCTTACTTAGTTGCCAACCTGATGTGTATATATATATATATATATATATATATATATATATACATACATACGAAGCAAAATATTTATTGTAAATATCGTAAACCTTTATGTTATTACTTACACAAGTTTTGTATTCATCATTAGATACAAAAAATAGCTAGCTAACAATTTTAGATATATTGTAAGTAAATTCTGTTAAAATATAATCCAAAAATTTACAAAACATTAGTCTATTAACCTAATTGAACAAGTTTCCATAAACCACAAGTGATTTATTATTGAAATACCCAATGTATATATATACTTTTCAATATATCATAAAAAGTGAAAACTTGAGGCATAATTATTTCTAATATGAAATAAATAGTCGATATTTATCATGAGTTAGTTTTATAATCATTAAATTAATTTAATTATGGTGTTGCCCAATAAAAGTCTTCATTTTTATTTCCAAAAAGCTAGTTCTTGTACACATAATCCTCGAAATAGTTGTTATGATATTATTATAATTAGTTGAATATATTTTAGTTATTATGCACAGAATATTTGTATTTTAAGATATTTTGTTGTACCTTAATTCCAAAGCATAAACACTTAAGCTTCTCATTACTTACTCATTATTTAACTTATAAAACTATAAAGAGAAATAAATTTAGTCATTTGTTAGGTTTTCTTGTTAATAGAAAATAAATCATACATGATGATTTTGAGTGAATGACAATTTAGGTACCAAAATAACATCAAATATATATATATATATATATATATATATATATACATATATGTATATATTGATTCTTTATAATTACTTAATAACAATGTTCACAAAAAAACTTGTTTTTAGATAAATTTGCAAATAGTGTACTAAAAATGATTAACAATATTAATGAATGAACTAAGAAATTGTCATTTACTGTTTTGCATTATACATCTACTAAAATTGTTACTAATTGTTTGATTAATACATTTTGTAATTAAGTTTTTGTGATTATATATAGATATATAAATATTTCAATAAAGTACTATAGACTTAAAAGAGACCAATTATACAGCATATGTTAAATATACCACATAATTAATAATATAAAGAGCTTTTAATATTGTTCAGAAGTTTTAATTTCTCATACTATTTTATAATATAAATTTTAGCACTTTTGTGTGTGGTTTACAGAACAATAGGACATATATTAATATTTTTAAATGTTTCAGGAGAAATCTTTAACAACATGGAGCTAAAGAAAGTTTTCATACAGAATACGAGTCTATAATGTTTTTGGAAATTTACAAAACTTTTGCTTTTGTAGTTTTATGTGGATTTTGGAGCAACTTGGGAAACAAGAAAAAAGACAAGACTTTTAGGCAAGAAGAAAATTTACATGGATCGATGTCTTTTTGTATTTAATGTAAAAATAAAAAAACATGTTTAGATTTATGATGTTTTTTTTATTTTCTTATGTAGTTAGTTTATGATTTATTACATTTTATGCATGCAAATAATTATAAGTAGTTTTATCTCAAGGTCTTCAGCGGGGATTAGTGGTTAGATCTATGTTATTTCAAGTTCCAGGTGTTGATAATCGCCTGGATTTCAAGCAGCAGCGATATCGGTTTTTTGCATGGAAATATAGATAGCAATATGTTTCTTCGTGAAAATGTTAATTTCCTGATATTGCTGCAATGAAAATTCAACGGTACTACAGATTTTATAGTAATAATTTTATCAAGTTGGGCCTACTGTTGAGTAGAACTTGTTTAGTTGAACAAAGTCTCAAGTCTATTGAATTTGGTTTGATAAATAATTTTGGTAAATTTGAAATATAATTTGCTAACAAATATACTTTTTTTTCAGAACTTCGTCATCATACGAATTACCTTTATCCTAAGAAAAACTCACGAAGGTATTATGAATGTCCTAAATGCAATCGACTTTATAAAAGGGCAGGAGCAATGAAAAATCACAGCATAAATCATTGCGGCGTTGAGCCTAAACATCTTTGCCAATATTGTGATTATAAGACTCACATTCCTGGAAATTTAAGAAAACACATAATGTGTAGACATTGGAAGGATGTACAACAATAGTTATAAAACAACAATGTATTTTTGGTTAATAAAAATTGTAATTATTTTCAAAATTGCTTTTTTATTTTCTTGATGAAACAATTTATTACACTGATAGCCTTTTTTGGTGCTGTACGTAAACTTTGAGGAAGTAACAATAACTTCATGCTTTTCTCCTAGATTTACTTGTTTATTATTGTGCAGCACCAACTAACTTGATTTTATTCTTTTGTGTACTGCCCAAAATTTTATCAATGTATCACCATACACGAAGTGACTGTTATTAATCTATTAATCATTGCTTTCAGATATTTGGCCTGATTACTATGAAGATTTCCTCTTCAGTGACAATCAAGTGGAATGTGATCCTACAAGTATTGTGAATATAGAATCTTCGGATTCAGAAACCGATTGCTTGATCATAGACATGGGCGACGAGGAGAAGAAAGACCTTCGAGGATTTAATATTGGAGAAACAAAAAGCAGATCGGGAGTAGAGTATATTGAAGTTTTTAACCCAAATGGGAAGTTAAGAGGTTACAGATGTAACAGCTGTGACAAGTTATTTTCATCTTTCCGCCTTATCCGACGTCATAGAAAATATACCTGTGGAAAAGCAGCTTCGTTACAATGCAAATATTGCTCCTTTGCTTGTGTTTGGATGACTCACTTGAAGTCGCATATGTATAAAAAACATAGAGAACAGATCTAATCTGCATATTCATTTTTTGAAGTAATATAGTAAAAGGTTGCCAAGTGTGATATGGTGATCTTTACCTACTAATAGCGAGTTATCTCATTAACAACATAAATGAGTATACTCTTCCAATCTTTCTCATTTTTTCACTTTTTTTACCTATGTAGTAGGTTTGTGCAATATATTCAAAAGTTAATTTAAAATAGTATTCTACTTGTAACAATTTATTATATTGTATTATAGTTTCCACCGATAAATTAATTTATTCCAAAAATCTTTATTCCGTATTTGTATCCATACGGTCATATTTATTTTTTATAACATGTATGAAAAGTGCCTTAGTATATTAAGTCTATTTAAGGAATAACAAAGATATGTGTGTTATTTATAAAGAGTTAATTTATTTTTTATAGCTAGTCTTTAATTAAATTAAATTTGCACAGGGTTTGACCAAATGTTTATATAGTAATTTAACAAGATTGCAATTAAATTAGCACCTAAGCAATTCTTTTGTATGTTCTAGTGATACTTTCTATATTTTCGATATTACCAAATTATTACTCTGAACCAAATATAAACTATTTATTATATATTTATTAACCATTATTCAAAACTTAATTTAAAATTTATCTAATTAGTTGATTCTCCTTGTAACAATTTATTATATTGTATCACAGTTCCCATCGATAAATTAATTTATTCCAAAAATCTTCATTCTGTATTTGTATACATACTAGGCCATATTTATTTTTGATAATACCATATATGAAAAGTGCCTCAGTATATTAAGTCTATTTAAGAAATAGCTTATATATGTGTATTATTTATAAAGAGATAAATTATTTTTATAGCTAGTCTTCAATTAAATTAAATTTGCACAGGGTTTGACCAAATGTTTATATAGTAATTTGACAGAATTGGAATTAAATTAGCATCTAAGCGATTTTGAAAAAAAATTGTATGTTCTAGTGATACTTCCTATATTTTCGATTATACCAAATTATTACTCTGATCCAAATATAAACTATTTATTATATATTTATTAACCATTATTATTATTAATAATTTTGTATTCAATGTATTGTATTAATGTGTAATGTGCCTTTGTTGATCTTAGTTTAGAGTTCAAACTTATTTTTTGTTCTAGTGATACTTTCTATATTTTCGATATTACCAAATTATTACTCTGAACCAAATATAAACTATTTATTGTATATTTATTAACCATTATTATTATTAATAATTTTGTATTCAATGTCTTGCATTAATATATAATGTGCCTTTGTTGTTCTTAGTTTAGAGTTCAATTTTATTTTTTGTGATAGAAGATATATTTTGATTTCATTTATGTTTTGGTTATTTGATTTGTATTTTGTATCTTGTTATTTAAGTTATACTTTTTTCTCATAATATTGTTGAATATTCAAATGAAAAATGCTTTCTGTGTTAATAAAAGTTTTGCAACTCGTGTAAGATGTTTTGATATAGTCTTTAAATGTTTTGAATTATTTTTTAAATTTACAAAATTGATGTGAAAACTTACGGAATATATTTAAATACATTTTTAATAATAATTAATGACATTCTGCTCACAATTTGAATCTTTTCTGTATACGACATTTTAATAATTGTATTTATTTATTTATTTATTTATTTATTTATTTATTTATTTATTTATTTATCATATAGCCCACAGAGTAGCCCTAGGAAGACTTAAAAATACAATTTTAATAATACATATTATAATAATACAAATATACTAATATATGATATAACAATGAATTTATCATGAATTCCAGAATCAATATTTATTATTAAAAAAATTTATATAAAATCGCTTATAGAAAATATTAAGGTGATGAAGTGGAATTTTATCTGTTCTAAAATTATGCATTCGATATGTTATTTTTCAGCTGTCTCGCACATATTAACTTATATTTTTCAAAATATTCAAAAGTCGTTTTGAAGTAAGTTTTGCATTTTAGAAAACATGCGTCGATTACCTTTTTAAATATGCAGACAAGTGTGTGAGCTGAGTTAAACTCCAACTCTATTCAGGAAGAATAGTGTGAGAAGTTTTCCATTGCCATTTTACACCGCAGTACCTGAAATGAGCTTATTTGGGAGCATACTTTGGATCTATATTTTCAAGTGAAAATGGACATTGTTGCTGCCCGATATCAGGTTGCCAGAGGGGAGCTTGAACTCTTCCACACGAGTGTGAGCCTTATTCCATGGCTCCATATATAGAATAGAACAAAATAGAATAGCATAGAATAGAATAGAATAGAATAGAATAGAATAGAAAACAATAAAATAGAATAAAATAGATTAGAATAGAATAGAATAAAATAAAATAAAATAGAATAGAATAGAATAGAATAGAATAAAATTTTATTAAAATTATATAGTTACAATTTAGGTCATTTATAATGCATAATTATTCTAAAAATGTATTTATAAAATAATAGGAATTATTTAGTAAATGATTTTGGTTTTGCATCTCCATCCATCAGGTAGCTTATTATAGATCTTGGCCCCCAATGAAGGTATATTCTATAATATATATATATATATATATATATATAATATATTAAAGTAAATATAATTGCATAAAATAATTAATATTAGTTTATCCCATGTATACCAATTTCGATCCAACTAACTACCCTTTCTTTTCCAGATGGTGGTTTCGATCACAACTCCGAAGAAAAAGAAGAAGAGCTTCAGGAAAACACTCGTAAACAAGTGGAAATCTTGCAACATCTAATATTAAACTGCGATGACAATACATCTCAGGTTGTCAAAGAAGTCAACAGCGCCAAAAATCAAGTTTATACCAATATGAAGAAAATCAGCGGCAACCCGCGTCAATTGTCTTTCTGCGGCAACGAGATCATCGAAGTGGCCAAGCTGAGGTCGGAACTTTCGGGCCACCAACCCGCACCTTGTTATACCACTATCACCTGTATGTCTCCGAATGCCCAGACTAATGAAACTTTTTCTTGTCCAAGATGTTCTTATATTACTCATACGAAACATGCTTTTTCTATACACTTTAAGAGGGCTCATACATTGAAGTTGAACCAATAATTGGGACTTTAATTGTAGACTGTTTGGATGATTCATATTTGTAGATATTGTAAGAACAGAGTGAATTATAGTACAATAGCTTATAAATAATTTTAGATTTTCTTATATATATAGATATATACAGAGTGTCCCAGATCTTGCCGTCAAGCCGAATTGGGGTGATAGTATTAACTTACATGTCCTGAAAAAAAAATTAGAAAAATATTAATCTCACGTTGTTTGTAAATTATGAGTTCTTAAGTGAAACCTAGAGCTTTGATGCAAATATGGCAATTTTTTGGTTATTGTGGTTAACTTTTATTAATTTTGTTCATTTAAGCTTTGGAACCGCAACCGTGAATAAAACTTCTAAGATAACAGTAAAAAAGACGCAATTGCCCCATATTTTCAAAAATTAAGATTTCTGTTGAACTATAAATTTTAAATTTTTAAATCTGGTTATTTGAGGTTGCGCGTTCGACAAACTTTTGAACTGAATGTTATTAAAATGCACTAGCAAAAACCATGTCATTTTTCGATTTTTTATTTTTTACTCGAAATTTTTCAATACTAAATTTTTAAGTATTTTACCATTTTACAATCCAGATTAAATGCGCCAACTTTCTATTAAACTTTCTTACACATTTTAGTACTTTTTTTAAAGAAGGCCCTTTCTAAGTCTACAAATTGTAAAAATGTTAAATTTATAGTTCAACAAAAAGACTTATTTCCTTAAAATTTGGGCAATTGTGTTTTTTACTCGTAATCTTGAAGGTTACGGCCCCAAAGTTTAAATGAACCAAATTAATAAAAATTAACCACAGTAACCGAAAAATGATCAAAATTTCATCAATCAAGCTCTAGGTTTCACTCAAAATCTCATTATTTCCAAACAATGCTAGATAATTCATTTTTCTATTTTTTTTGTAATCCTCGAATCAAGGAATTTATTTTAATAAAACAGAAGGAACTAAATAAAAAATTATTATTGCAACGTTTCGGAACTATGTACGTTCCATTTCAATAAATATGTCAAGAATATGATCTTGATTAGAAATAAACAAACAAACTAATATGCAAAAATAAATAAAGAATGTATAGATTATGTATAATAAATCAGAATGTATAGATCCATAATTATATTTAGTATGATTACTTGTTTTTTTAATAATTTATCCATTTTACACTATATAAAAAATGCAAATATAATAATTATAGACATTCAAAATCACTATTTTTGAATTATTCAATAGATATTAATTTTTATTTATATAGTTTTTTAATATATTTTTAAACATTATTTTGTAGTTTATATTCTCACTGATAGAATATAGGATGTTTATACTTGTGATTTACTTTTGTATAAAATTATAAAATATCAAAAAAATTCTTTAAGAGTGCTATTTTATTATAGTATTTCCTGAAATCATAGTATTTAAACATGTATGTATAGTGTATCATACCTTGAATATTAATTACAGTTTGAATTAAAATCGTAGTGAATATAAATTGATATCGAGAATTATTGTATAAAAATAATATATATAACATGTATTTTATTAGTTATGCTTTATTTAGTAGTTAAAAATTATTATTTTTATTATTTAAAAATTATAATTTTTTGAATATTATTCAATATGAAAAATGTGCATGATCTCCATGTTTCTTCATTTCTTTTACTTCTTTACTTCAAATTATAAAAATTTTTGTAGGTTGATAAAATATATTTCTGTTACTTATGATGACTATTTTTTATTTTCAGTCACAACCAACCTCTCGTCACCATTGGTAGCTGAAACATTTGAACAGCTTAAAGATAAAGCTTACAGATGTAAAAAATGCAAGGAAACCTTTACATTTGAAATGAATTATCTGTTACATCGCGAAGTTTGTGATCCGGAAAAGATTTTTATTTGCCCTCAGTGCAAAAGAGAGTATGCTTCAGCTCAAAGTTTCTATAATCATCGAAGATATGAATGTGGAAAACCTTTTGATCATAAATGTCTATATTGTCCATATATGACCAGATTGAAAGGAAACTTGAAAGGTCATGTGTTAAGGAAACATCCTGAGAAAAATGTTGGATTAAATTTACAGCTTTAAATGAAGAAGATTGAGCCCATGAGTCGATAGACAGTTAAAATTTATTTTAAACAATTTTTGTTGTTTTATTAATGAAATGAAGTGTATTTTATTACTGTTTTTTGTTATCAAGTAAACTAATGATGCATGTGCAACTGTTAAGTTGTTTAATTAAAGTCGTTCAATTGCAATATATGATGTTTTACTAATAGGTTTTTCAGAGCAAAATTAAAATTTGGTTAATCAATACTTATTTATATCATTACAAATATGGTGTATAATAATTACTAATTTTACTATTCCAAATTCTCCAATTTTTTTGTGTGATATTTAAAACACATCCCAATAATTTGAATAATTATTTGAAAATTACATATTTTTTGTTTAGCAGATGCTGTATAAAGTATAGTCATTATTAAATTGAAATTGTATAAATGTTTTGAAATAAATTTATTACATTTATTATCACATCGATTTTGAAATATGATCAAACTGCATTTTTTATACTAACTGTTGAAGTTACATTAATTTATAAATGATGGTTTGTTAATTTTAGCACGAATAATAACTCATTAAAACGCATTAAAGAATGTTTTATACATAAATAAATTATTAATTTTCCTAAGTAGAAGTTTGTTTTTATCAGAAAATCCGATTTGCTAATTTTATGTTTTCTCGACGTTCCAAGCCATTCTGAATAGAATGAGACCAAATTTGGAAAAAAGTATGTGTGTGTGTTTGTGTGTGAGCCGATTTTTGACCTTTCGTCGACGTTTTCTCAAAAAACGCTTGAACCCATTTTAAAAGCCATTCGATGTATCTCGATGAGGACTATCGTTTCTCAGTTTTGCGCAACGATCGGCAGAGCCGTTTCTTTGTAATTTTTAAAAAAGTGTAAAATTTTATTTTTCAAATAAAGAATTTGAAATTTCATCTAAATATCTAATTTTTGGGAAGTTCATGCAACTTGCTGTAAGGCAAAACACCACTAGCAGCCAGTTTGTATTATTGTTGTTGTAGAACTGATGAATCATTAGGATTTACTTTTCACAAACAATGACGATAAAATCAGATTAACATTTTATCATTGTTTTTATAGCTAAAATGTTGAACTAATTTTATCATTCTTTAAAAAAATTTAAATACTAATGATTTATCAGTTCTTTAGTATCAGTGGTGTGCATCAAGTTTGTATAATTTAATGCTCTTGCATAATGTAGTGCCATCGTATGTATATCAAATTTATGTATGAAAATGCAGTATTTAGTAGAAATCAATTTTAATATATAATAACATATTTAATTATTTTCTTTTCAGATCCATATAGCTATTTACCGTCTAGAGTTGCAATATCTATTCCCAATCCGACGACTTTATTCAAAAAAATTTCAGTTCGTAATACAAGGACAAAGAAGTACCAGGTAAAATTGATGTGCATAAAATGCGGAAAGCAGTTTTATATTTATTCCGAAAATCCAAATGTAGTAAGAAGATGTTTCCATTGCCCAACCTGCTCCTTGGAGCGTGCTTCTGCAGATAGACAAAATAATAACAGTGATAAGTTGTAAAAGTTGTAACTTTAACAACATATCAATGATTTATTCAAATATCAGGAATAAGTGAATTTTAACAGACATTTAAAAAAAAGATAGTGATATTTGGAGACACCAGGAAACATCAGGAAACATCATGCCATCGAGTCAGCCATCTAAACAACCAAGATTAAAATGACAATGATGTTGACCTTCAGCATTTACTTCTTGGAACTAATTTTTTGAATGTGCCTCATTTGATGAATTATTTATTATTTAATTTTTATTGAATCCCTACAACATTCCACTTTTATTAAATACTGTTAACTTTATTTGGTTATTACTGTTCAATAGTTTTATTTTAATTTACATCCAAGAAATGAACTATAAAGTTGACAAAATTTTCGAAATGTTATAGATATAGGTTTTATTATCAATAAAACCTTACTGGGCCAAAGATATGTAAAAAAATGAAAGATGATGAATTTGCATATTTTTACAAATATTTAGGAAGTATGCAAATTTATATTCAGAAACAGATCATTCAAATTGCACATTTGCATTCAAAAATAGACAGTCTCGAATAAATTTTAATCACAATATTATAAATGTTTTATTACATTTCTAGTCATATTAATAGTATTGTTTCAGGGAATATATTAAATTAATTACATCACTTTATTAATGTAAAAAAATTTAAAATGTGATAAAAATTTATATAACCAAAACATAAAAAATATAATATTTATCAAAAAACCAATGCCTATAAAACAATATGTGATATTTGATTTTTTTTAATATGTTTGTCACTTTTTGCCAAATGTTATAATTTTTTGTTATTAATTCTTCTTTAAAGTAATTAAAATATAATTTAAGCTATTTTGAAATACAGTTAAAAATTGTATTAAGATAATTGTTTTAGATAATAAGTTCTCTAGAAAGTAGATTTAAAAATATATTTTATACAACATCTAATGAATTTATATATGTTATTTAAAAGAAATGAAATATCAATAAATTGATTATTCTCAAAGTTTTAATAATTACTCTCCTTATTCTGGTGTCCATTAAATGTGTGTAACATAATGCTCTTCATAATATGATGTTATGCATATTTAATTTATATACATATTTTATAATTATTATCCTAAGATATTTTATAATTTTCTTTTTAGATCCCTGTAACCATTTCCAGTCTTCAACTTCAATACCTGTTCCCAATCCTCCGATTTTATTAAATAATATTCCAATTCTTAACATAAAGAAAAAGAAGTACCAGATAAAATTGATGTGCAAAAAATGCAGGCAGGAGTTTTATATTAATTCTGAATATCCGAATATACCAAGAACTTTTTTGGATTGTCCAAGGTGCTTTACCAGGTACCTATTATAGCCCTCCGCAAATAAAATTTCCTAAATTTTCTATACATAATTGTAACTTTTTTTTATTATAATAGCAGGGTTAAGAGGAATTTTAAGAAACTCGTATATAGTAAACATTGAGTTGTTTTGAATCATCGGAATATTAATAATAATAATCAAGTCAATCAAGATCAAGATTGAAATGATGTGGACATTCTTAAGTGCAATTGACTTACTGGGCCTAAGTTATTTAGAAGTCTGTTGATTTTTTTTTTAAATTTTTTATTGTATCTTTGCGAACTGCACTCAAGTCTTCAATCCAAAATTTATAGTTATTATTATCATTTTGGATATTATAGTGCAATTAGACAAAATTTATTATATGACAAAGGCAAAATGATATGTTATATGGGAGAAACCAATTTTGTGAAATATATTATTTTTTGTATTATTTAGTTATTTTAGTTTTTATCCTGTATTTTCTTTATAATTAATTGTGCTTTTGGAATTTATTTAATTATATTCATAGATGAAAACACGTGTTTTCAAATATCTAGCTGATGGCAACCAGCAATCTGGACAACCAGGATCAACATGTGGATTTTGAACAAGAATTTGCAGACATTCAGCATTTTTTATTTCATAGAGCTGTATTTAGTGAATTTATCTCTTCTGGTGAACTTTTTCTATTTAATTTTTAACGAATCTTTGCAAAATCCAATCCTATTAAATTATATTAACATATTGTTTGTTTAATACTTTTGTTATAATTTACAACTAATAAGAGTGCTATGTAGAAGATAAAATTCTCGAAATACAAGTTTCACAAGCTAGAATGCAATTTCATGAAATATATTTTTCTAAGTTTTTTCCTATTGTTTTTTCATTTAGTCATTTTAGTTATTAATTGATTTAAGTTAAAATAACTCATAATTATATTCGTGTTTCAAATTTATTTTAACCAGATCGATATTAAAACAAGGTTCATAACTCCATATTACAAAAAAGTATGTTTTTACAGATGTTTTTAGGTTAGATTCATAATTAGTATCTATCTATATATTTAGTACATTTCAGCTTAAATGAATTCAAATAATATCTATCATTGTTTTTGTATTACATACTTAATTTCGATAGTTATATGATATACTATATATAATGTTTTCTAATTATCTTATGTAATTATATAAAATATTTTTTTATATTTTCTCTCAATATGTACAGAATTTTTAATTATAATGTATCATTTTCATTTATTACCATCTCTATATATACCATTTTATTGACCCTTTTCACTCGGATGCATTGAAAATTCATATGAATTTCGCAATTAGCGAGTGGAAATCATTAAATTCATTTTATTGCATAAAAAATTCATGTATACAATTACTAACAATTTCACATTTTTCCTCATTTCAGTTTCCTATCATGATCAATCTGATCCAAATAACCAGTTTTACATTCACAATTCAAATGAAACATATAACTATGGATCAGGATTTGGTGCTGAATCTGATTTTTGGAACCATCAACAACATCAGAGATCTGAATTAAAAAAGCTTCATACTTGTTCTCGTTGTCTGGGAAAATTTTCTTCGTCCAGAAGTTTTTGGAACCATCAACGATATCAGTGTGGAAAACCAGCATCGAATAAATGTGAAAAATGCGACTATAGAACTATTTTGAAAAAAAATTTGAAAAGACACATGATAAAAAAGCATAGTTAAATTGACATCTGTTGATAATCTGTAGCCAGATTTCACGTTTAATCTATTTATTCACAACGGGAATGTCCTTAACATAATTTCTGTCTATAACCGTTGCCTAGCAACGTCGGAAACTGATTTCACAACAACTTCTGTCCTCGACATTTCTTGCCGTATTTTATGAAAAGAGGATGTCCTATTCGGCGATGGATGAACTGTTTTGTGGCCGATAACGTAATTTGTCACGTAAATATCAATGTGTACTTTTCAATGTTCAGTTTTTATTTTGTGAATAGCTATTTGTATATATAGCGATGTGAAAAAATGCTTAGTTTTTGGGAAACGCAGTTCATTAATTTTAAACTTTTCATAACCTTTTTAATATTTTCATAACGATATTAATTATCTGATAAAGATACTGATTTTAAAAATCATTAACTGTTATGTTAAACCTCTGCATTTTATTATCTTTTTATTATTATGACTTCATTTAATTTTTAGAAATATGAAATTAAATCATCTCATTTACTGTTTACATTTCATACAATGCTCTGTTTGTACACTTATAAACATTAGTGCATTTTAGGCATATAAAATATGATTTGTGAAATTCACAGTATATATTCATAATAATCTATTTGAAAATGCATAAAATTATTATTAATCATAAAATAAGTGAAAATCTGATGCAAAACTCTTGCTTACCTTACCAGAAAACTTGACAGAAATCCTGTATAAAGAAATACTGGCGTCGTGTGCACCGGGCTTTACATAAATAGTTAAAATAAATATTGTTAAATTTGTAGAATAAATATTTAAATTTTATTACAGCTTTATAGTTCACACCCAGAAGTTTTCTTTTATGAGTAAAACTAATATTGTAAATTTTACTCTAGAAACAATAAATTGTCTCTATTTTATATATTTTTTTGTTTTATATTTTTTATTTTGAATAACTTTTAGTACAGTGATTTTCACAATAAAAAATATTGTTGATTGTATTTTTTTATGGTTGTATTATTGTTTTCCCCAGTCGCTGAATGGTAAGAGCTCTTGTTTTTCAACCAAAGGTTCCAGGTTCGATATCCACTTCAGACAACATGATATCAATCGTGATATCTCTAAAAGTAAAGATGGTAATATATTTTCAGGTGAATCTAGGCCTGTTGGAAAAATTATAATAATTAAGGGCATTAAATTTCTTCTTGTGCCTTTTTAAAAAGCAGCATACTCATATAAAAAATGTATACCTATGAAATATTTTGTGACGTATTCCTATAACAACTTTTTGTAAATTTTAAGAATACTCTTTGTATACTTTTGGCCAATAAATATATATTACAAAAATGTAAAAGGTGGTTTGTGTTTAAAAGTAGTTAACAAAATATAATTCATAAATAAATCAATAAAAGTTATTCAAACCAAAGGTAATTACTTTATTTTCATTTATCACATTTCTAGTTATCACATCAACTCTTGGACTAACTTTAGATGATTTTTTTTTTCAGATGTCAGAAAATTCCTGAGCTTCGTCGAAGATTCAGCAATATTCATAAGACCTTCAAAATTATCTAAATGTCCAAACTGTAATAAGTGTTACACTTATGGCACAGATTTAAGACGTCATATAAAAGAAGTTTGTGGAAAATATCCAGCATTTCGTTGTACTATATGTTCTTATTCATCTTACAAGAGACATAATTTTAAAAGACACATTTGGTTAAGACATAAAATGGTTATTGATTGAATGGGAATAATTGTATATACTGGTTTAAAATAAAGAATGATATGAAGTTATCTTTATGATTATTGAACTTATTGATTTTCAACAGAGGACGAAGAATAAATAGTGACAATACTCGATCTGACGATACCAGTCCCAAACTATTTCTTGGAAACTTGCTTTCACTTTTGTCTTCTCCATATTCAAGAAAATCCAGCAATTCTCTCTCATCATAAAGTGTTTTTAAATATTTTGTAAAAATATTGTGATAAAATTATTTGATAACTAACATCTTCTATGCAGGACTGCACATCGACTTCAAAATATATGAGCAGAACAATTTGTTTTTTAATATATCAATTTCATCATAAGTTGAATATAGTATTTTCCTGACTTTTTCTCTTTTTTCCAGGAAAATTCTACGCGTCCAAAAAATCTTTTTCTTCCATTGGCAAAGCTCAGGACCAAATACCAGAAATGGAAAGTTTTTACTCTTGTCCTCTCTGTGGGAAAAGTTACACATATTGCACTAGCAGAGATACACACTATGAAAAATGTAAACTTATGTATAATAGCAAATCTATGGACAATAAACGACTTTACAAATGCCCGAAATGTGGAAAGCCTTACAAAAATTCTGGAAGTATAGCAAATCATCTGCGATTGGAATGCGGAAAGGAGCCTCAATTTCGTTGCACATTATGCGATTATACATCCTATCAGAAATTTCATTATCAAAGACATTATTCATCTAAACATAATTTGGACATTACTGAGTCTTCATCTAAGTCAAATTTACAAGGGATACTGCCAGGCACAGATCATACGTATTATTAATAGCAAACAAGGTTAATGTTATAAATACGATGATATGGTATCATAGATATTATAACTACATGGACTGTTAGTCTAGCGCAAAATAAGTGCATAAAGATAAAATATTTTTTATATTCATTCTCAATATGTACAGAATTTTCAATTTTAATGTATTTTTTCAATTTATTAACATCTCTATATGTATCATTTTATTAACCTTTTCCACTCGGATGCCGCCCCTCCAGCGGTAAAATACATATGAATTTCGCAATCAGCGAGTGGAAAGGGTTAATTTTATTAAATTCATTTTATTGTATTCAAAAATGCATTTCTATGCATATAATTACTAACCATTTTAATTTTTTTCTCATTTTAGTTACCTATAGTGATCAGTCTGATCCAAATAACCAGTTTTTTGGTCACTATTCAGATGAGACATATAACTATGGATCAGGATTTGGTGCTGAATCTGATTTTTGGAACCATCAACAACATCAAAGATCTGAATTAAAAAAGCTTCATACTTGTTCTCGTTGTCTGGGAAAATTTTCTTCGTCCAGAAGTTTTTGGAACCATCAACGATATCAGTGTGGAAAACCAGCATCGAATAAATGTGAAAAATGCGACTATAGAACTATTTTGAAATACAATTTGAAAAGACACATGTTGACTAAGCATAGTTAAATGCACAGATCATACGTATTATTAATAGCAAACAAGGTTAATGTTATAAATACGATGATATGGTATCATAGATATTATAACTACATGGACTGTTAGTCTAGCGCAAAATAAGTGCATAAAGATAGAAGGGGTCTGTGACGTCAATTGCTGAACGAGCGTTGCCGACAATCGTTGAACTTTCCCGATTGATTAAATGTTATATGTCATATGTCACGTGCCTAACCTAAAATAAAAATTTGTGTTTGAAATTGTTGTGAAATAATTATATTTTTGAAATAAAACTATCACAAATAATATTTGAATTACATTAACTATTATGATAAATATTATTAATATTATTTCTTACAAAATTATCAGTCATCTCAATTGCCATTATATTATTAAAACTAGCTGCAAACTAATGGATAGATGAATAGATATACAAATGAATATATACTAGCAAGTGTAGAATACTTAGATAAAAAAGAGATAAAAACTACAATATTAACTTGCATTTAGTACGATTTTCCATAAAAAATTCCATTGTCAATTAAAATGCCAGCATCAAAAAAACTATGTATTCTGTGTTTGGTTTTCTGTAATTTTTCTAATTTATGGTTGAAACAAACAATTATAATACTATATCCATAATAAAATAATCATTTTTCAGTATAATTGCAATGAAAACTAGTGCCGAATGGCATCGTACCTTAAGAATTCAAAGAATATTAAATGTTTTCAAATAGATTATTTTTTTCAAATTATATAACTTATATATGTTTACAGAAAACTTTTTTTTTTTTTTTTTTATTAACTCTTAATAAACAAAACTTAATCAATCGAATTTAAAATGGACGTTGTCTAATATTTATAAGACCTTTATAAACTGAATTGCAAAGTTTATGACATTAGGCTTTAGAACTTTAGCTAGAAAAAAATTAAAATTCAAATTATTTTCGATATTCAAAAAATTTTTTTTGGAAATTAGAAGCAATCGTTTTGTCAACACAAGTAGAAAGCTTTTTGAATCATTTAAATCGGATGCTTATTTCTCTCAAAAACTACCATCTTGCATGGTATCTACGAAACGGATGGGCCTGCCCTTGCCAAAAACTAATCACAAGTTCTCCTCGTCATTATGCATTGAATGTGTTTTTGGATCATTCAAATCGTATGCTCCGTTCTCTCAAAAACTCGATATCTATATTCCGCACTCTTTACACCGTATCTCCGAAGCGGCTGGACCTGCCTTTGCCAAAAACTAATCAGCACATTTCTCTATCAATAGGAGTCAAATATTTTTTTAATCATTCAAGCCGGTTAATCCGTGGGCCCGAAACGTGGACGAAAAGTTGTATCCATACATGCACACATGCACACATCTATATTTTTTAGGTATGCCAAAATGTTCAGAAACGATCAAAACGTGAAGAAATGTAAAAATTTTCAATTTCGATTTTTGGACGATTACAATAACTTACTGACATATGACATTTAATCAATCGGGATAGTTTCACGATTGTCGTCAACGCTCGTTCAGCAAGTGACGTCACAGTCACTTCTATCTTTGTACACTTTATACAATGGAAAACATATGAGGACTAGCAGTCCATGTAATATAAGGACTATGTATGATGTATATGAAATTATATGTTTTGATACAACCTAAAATAGTATAAATGAGAAATAATATATTTGAGTCAGAGACACTTTGTTAATAAATATTGATAGTTTTCTAACAGATTAGAACTTAAGAATCCTATGAGTTGTGATAATACTTCCAAAGTATTTTTTTAGACAGCCTCTCGACTGGTATTTTTAATATATTTTTTATGAAAAAATATTTCTATGTGTTGTAATTTGTATAATAAAGTAACAAATAAATTTTTTATTACAACTAGCTTGATTTAGTCTTATTGCTCAGCATGGAGGTTTTAGGTAAGAATTTATTTATTACAATTACTTTATTACGCCTTAGGTTTTTTTATAATTTTGGACCACATATTCGTATCATTAATTGTAATTAATTATACTATATTTTTAGGAAACCGATTCTACGCAGATACTACATCGATGGACTCTGAAAAAAAGAATACTAGAGAATGGGTATTCTCTTGCCCAAATTGCAAAAAACAATACGCTTATTTAAGCGCAAGGAACAAACATTATGCAACATGTAAACAAATCTACAATCCTGAAGGAGTTAATTCTGGAAAACTTTTTAAATGTCCAAAATGCTCTAAGTCATTTAAAATACGTAATAGTTTACATCGTCACGTTAAACTAGAATGCGGACAAGAACCGAAGTTTTGCTGTCGTTTGTGCTCATATAAGTGCTACCAGAAAGTTCGACTTCAAAAACATGCTTATGCAAAACATAATTACGTTTTATAAATAGTAATGGAAAAATATATATTATAAAAGGGTAGAGCGGGGCTTGAAGGTCCGCGGGCGAAAACGTCTACCACTGATATCTCAATAATAAATAACGTTAAGAATTTTTTAACAACAATATTTGAAAGTAGAGGGAAAAGGGTGATAATCAGCCATCACCTCGATTCTTACGCTGTTGCTATGGGGATATAAACCCAGATTTGAAAATCTATAACATAAGTATTTTTATTCGTTGTTAGTTTTTTTGGTTGTGAGCACTGTTGTTTAGTTTAAGAGACTTTAATATAATTTTTAAGTATAGGTTATTCAATTGTTTCATAAGATGTATTGTTAATTTTAAGTTAGATTTAACAGTTTTTTTTATATAATACCTATAAAAGCTGACACGTGGGTGGGGTAAAAAGGACTAAATAAACCTTTACCAAGGCAAAGGTGTAAACAATAAAAAGTAGTAAATAAAAAAATAAATTAAGTTAAAAAAAGCAATTTTGCAAGAGATAAATTAAATAAATAGTTATTCCAACTATGCTGATGAATATTTCTGTCGAAATACCAGATCAAGGTTGTATGCCTGTAAAAAATGTACCCATGAAATTTATATTTTGCATTGGTTGAATAATGTAGCTATTATTTCGTAAAATTTCTTTAAAATTTCCTTACTATTAAATATAAGACATTGGATCTGGTGCCCCCTAGTCGTCTCATTTTACCACGCCTATAGGGTAAAAAGGACCATGTGGCAAATTTTTGAAAAACAGAAAATATAGCACTTTTCTACAAAGAATGTAGACTAATGAATTAGTCAGAAGTTTTACTGAGCATAGTCAGACAGTTGTTTGTTTGATATGTGTTATTTATTGTGATATAATTAGTTTTCACAATATAATTGCTCAAGGACAAATTGGACCTTTGTGCCCCGCTTTGCACTATCTGATGTCTTCAGATATTTTATGATATAATGAACATTAGACTAATACCATCAGACTATCATTTTGTGCTGTCATAAAATGATCTTAAAAAAATTTTTTTTTCTATAAACAAAATCAGAAATATAATAGAATATCTTATATATCTTTGTTATAATAATAATTCAACAAAATTATTATAGTTTGAATGATTAAGTATACTTATATTGCCTTGTTAGTATTAATTTTCCCATTAATGTGTGGCGATATCAAGCAGGCTGGTTTTTATTTGTAAAAAACAATCGGACATGTCATGTATATTTTTGATATCGAAATATTTTTACAGTTAATAAATTTATATATTTTTTATGTTGGGAGTTTCTAATTTAATATATTATCATAATCATTACTACTCCCACATTGGTGACTCACGACGATGGAGATGAAGATAAAGGAGTTTATTTTTCGAAGATTTAAGAAAAATTGATTTTGACGCAGCACCATAATCACTGGTCTTCAGTGACGACCTATAAGGTATGTCCAGTCCAATCCATCATAGTTAACGCACTTACTATCTGGATCAGACTTCCGAGGTTACTCATTTGGTATACCCAGACCTCAGTGTTTATTGCTGACAGAAAAAATAATTTGGAGCCTGAACTTTTCATTGGAATGCAATTCAACCTCTCTTTCTCTGTTAACTCAACAAATCGTCTTATAATGCTACCTCCCATTATCGGTGACAACGACGAATCAAAACAAAATTTGACATAATTTATTGGTTTCCACAATTCTGGACTCTTATGTCAAAGAAACCAATGATCCTGATTTGGATAAAGAGCCAACTTCTTTCTCTGATCGGAACTCATCAGATACGAATGCAACGCTTGCAGAAATGGAAACTGTACCCATAAATTATGCATTCTAAACATTAAGTAATTCTGATATAACTAATACAATTAGATGGAGGCTGAATCTTAGAAGTTCACCGACATCGAGGTACAGGAAATTTTCCACATGTTTTTCATTAATCAGAACCTTATGCAGAATATGGAGTTGATGGCAGGTCGAATCACCACATACGGTGGACCTGCTGACGAAACATGGAAATTTGTAATTAACCAGTATTACAACACTGGTCTGCTATAATCTGCTTTCCCACCACATTTTTATAACGTGTTTCCCTGTGTTTTTTTTTAAACTGTGAGATCAACACTGGGCAGGGAGTGTGTGGCGATATCAAGCAGGCTGGTTTTTATTTGTAAAAAACAATCGGACATGTCATGTATATTTTTGATATCGAAATATTTTTACAGTTAATAAATTTATATATTTTTTATGTTGGGAGTTTCTAATTTAATATATTATCATAATCATTACGACTCCCACAACTTAATAATAATAATATTGTTAAACTAAAGACTAAACTTAAAATTCAAAGAGTTAGCGTATATTTTAGCATTATACTATTATTATGTATTATTATGTATTATATTTATAGTATTTATTTTAATTTGATCGATCATAAGTTAAATAAAACTTATTACACGAAACGCATCAGGTATATTTAGTGTATACTATATCTTTTCGGTTAAAATATATATTAATTACTACTTTATCATTAACATTTTATTATTATTTTCAGGTGACAGCTTCTATGAAAATACTGGGTACGATCAGAATAGTCAATTCTACGATATTAACGATCCAAACAATCTCTATATTTCACCGACAAGTTTTTGTTGTTCGAATTGCAACAGATTTTATAGGCATAAAAGGACTCTTCAGAGACATTTGAAATTTGAATGTGGAAAAGAAAAACTATTTAAATGCCCAATGTGTGCCTATAGGAGTCATCAAAAGATCACAATGCAGAAGCATTGCGAGAGAAGACATCAAAAATATATTTAATTAGTAATAATAAATAATAAATAGTAGTTTGCTCGAAGGCATATCCATGGTGTGAGAGCACCACAAAATCTATGATTTTCCTCCCCTCCCTTGTTTATTATTTCCATTACCGTTTTATTACCATTATTTGATGACCATCAATCACTTTATATTCGTTTTTATGATTTTTTTTCCAACTTGAGCTAAAAGAAAAACTATTTAAATGCCTATGTCTTCTGGTCCTGTGCTTCGACTTTCAGTTCTCTGCATTTTCCCTTCTTGCATAAGTCATCATCAGTAGTAGATAATAATTATTACTAAACGTTGAAATCTATATATAAAACAAAACATAATTTTTAACTTTCCGTAGGGTAAATTATAATAATCGCAAATGAAAATTTTTATATATGTTTACGTTTCAAAAGTTTCTGAATATTTTGGCATACCTTAAGAAAAATCGATATATGTGTGTGTATGTGTATATGTGTATGTGTGTGTGTGCGGATACAAATTTTTGTCGACGATTTCGGGATAACCAATCAACCGATTTGAATAATTCAAAAAATATTCGATTACTTTTTGGTATAGTGCAGAAATTCCGATTATATCCTAGGTATCCGCTCATAGAGTTGTGCGTGAGCATGTCGTTTTAGCTCAGTTGGTTGGCGCGTCATCGCAATTTTTGTTCGCGTTAGTTGATAAGAAAGTCAAAACAGATCTGGTTTGAATCCCACCTATTTCTGACTCTTCAAAAGAAATACGGTCTACAGATCATTTTAATGTAGGGCTTTAATGCGGAGTTAATGCAATAACGGAAACTTGTTCGCACAAACATACTTTATATTTTTTTGCTTTGAACCCTATCTTTTCAAAATCGGTATATTTTAGCTATTATGACGACTGTTACTTGGTACCTTGGCACAACCGTTCCCAGTCTCCCCTAATAATTAATACTACAAAACATATATAAGTTAACTCACTATAATAAAAATTTACGGTGATATTCCAGAGTTTTATGAGAGGCTAGTAATAAATTATTTAAAATACTTTAAATAATATATTAGATTTTATTATAAATATACTAATTAGAGAAATATTTATTCATATATTACCTATATGTAAATACTGTAAATATTTTTTTTTTATTTTCTTGAGAACTATTTCAGAATAATGAAGATAAATCAGTTATTTCGAATATATTTGAATTTTATTGACCAAGTTTAGACAGATGTTTCTCATTCATTTGTATTTTTTCATATATTTTTAATGGATTATAATAAGTTTATTTGGTAATTGGTTTATTATAATTTTTGTAATAAGTAATTGGTCTATCACGGTTTATTTCAAAAATGAATAATAAATATAAGTATTTTAGCAAAATTGTATATAAATAAATATAGGCCAGAAAATATAACACATGAATTTTTTTGTTTGGGATTTTATAAATTTTCAAAACATATTGATATAAATTCAAAGTTTTGTTTCTATCAATGCTGTAAATATAAATGTGCAATTGCTAATTTGCTTCTAAATTATATTTTATATTTTATTTTATTATTAGAGTAACATTGAACATGGGTTTTAATTTTATTGTATATAACTTGTATTGTACACATAAAAAGCATGTAAGCTGTATAAAGTTAAATATATCACTTATTTTTCAGAAACAGTTTATAAATATATTGGTGGAATATATAAATATTGCACATATATTTTATTACATTCTATTGTACATATACAAAATCATTGAATTTGCTTGTTCATTCACTTTCATAGATTCGAATACTATTTTGCATTAAATAGCGAAATGTCTGTAAAAATTTCTTCTACCTTCTATCCCACATATCTATTAGTTTCACTGATTTTTTGTACCTTCAAAAAACATATTAAAATATTTTATAATTCCAGGTAAATTTCGCGATATGCAAGCTTTTGTCGACATGGCAACTTTCTTTAGTCAACCAAATATAAGGAGAAGATTTTCCAAAACGGTTCCAACCATGGAAGACGGTGTTCCTAAATGGCAGTGTCCAAAGTGCCAAAAAGTCTACAGACACAGAGAAAGTTTACAAAAACATTTAAGACTGGAATGTGGAAAAGATCCACAATTCTTTTGCTCCATGTGTCCTTATAAAAGTCATCAAAAAATCAATCTTCAAAGACATGCTTTGAGACATATCAAAGGGTATTATAAAAACTGTTGATGTCGTTGATAATTGTTGATAATTATTGTTAGATAAGTATTTATTCCTATTTTTATACAAAGAACTGTTGTATTTTTAGAAAAAAAATAATAAATACGTATATTTTAGTTATCTTTATGTAAAATAATATTAGTAATATATATTTTAAGAGGGTTATAATGGTTTTATAGTTGTTATTAATTAATAAGTTTAATTTATAGAGTTGCATGTTAGTGAATCTACCTCAGGATAAAGTCTATATATGTATATATCGTTGAAATATGTGTGATTCAATCAGGCAATACATCAATTAAAAAACTGTAAAAATTTATAAAAATTTTATTATACCAACATGGTCTGGCAGATATCTTAATTTTCAATCCTATCATCCAACTAGCATGGAAATTGGTACTATCATCAATTTAGTTGATCATGCTATTCTACTTTCAGATAAACAATGTTGAATTTTTAACATATCCTTAATCCATAAAACTTTAATAAATAATTGCTATCCCTCAACACAAAACACTATCATCCCTCCCTCGTGTCCCAGAAAAAAGAAGATAACAAGTTTGTTGGCACTATATGTCTTCCATACATTAAAAATCTTTTCCCGTTTTGAAAAAAACTGTTTACTTTTGCGAATTTGCGTTTAGTCTGTAATATTGATCGGACTCGGAATTTTCAAATTTAAAATCACCCACAAGTGTAAATCATGCCTCTAACATTGTTTATAAAATTGACTGTAAGAACTGTGAGGCTGCTTATGTCGGCGAAATGGGACAACATTGAATAAAATGCCTGAAACAACATTTTAATAACTCCAAAAATAAAAATTAGAATAAAACGATGATAACGGACCACATCATAAGCTTGAATTATTGTTTCAATTTCGATGTTGCTACAATTTTAAATCACGAGTCGAACGTATCACAGAGACGCTTTTCAGAATCATGTTCTATACAATTGTACAAAAATAGTATAAACAAGAGAAATGATACTTCTTCGCTGAGAATTATCAAGTAGTTTTAAACAGTGTTTCGAAGTTCATTTTTTTAAAATAACCGCCCATTCCTGACATTTCAAGATTGAATCTCATATATATATAATATTTTTTGGTAATATATTGAAAACAAAAGGTAGGTACGATTCGCTAATATGTTTTTATTTAATATTAAAATATCTTTACAATTTACAGTAAGTTTAGTTAATACATATTCTTATATATTATGTTATTTACAATTTATTGAAATAAATTATTACAAATAAATATTTGTTCACTACAGTTGCATACATATATATGATATTTGTTACCTGTTTATTCAGTGTGTTTCAGGTAACAAGTTGATCGATATCCACTAAAAACTAATATTACAAATATTTTTGTTTCAGGTAGCTCTACCGATTTTGTCTATGAACAGTTCAATATGACTACAAAAGGAATCTTAAACCCGAATTATCAAAATCATGTTTGTGAAAAATGTAACAAGTCTTATGCAGCACACACGTCTCTGAAAAGACATTTACGTTTTGAATGTGGAAAAGAACGTAATTTTTTCTGCAATTATTGTTCTTACAGGAGTCATCAATTTTGTACATTGAAAAGACATTGTTTGCGAATACATAATGAAACGTTGATGACTTATAACGGTTATAATGCCCATCAATTTTAATCACTACTGCCACTCTAGACAGGCCTATGAGTTAAGTTAAACTCCAAGTCGATTCAGGGATGAAAAGCGTGAGAAATTTTCCAACGATATGGAAACTTTATGTTCCAGAGGTTTCTGAACATTTTGGCATACCTTAGAAAAAATGGAAGCATGTGTGCGTGTGTGTGTCCACAATTTTTTGTCATCCATTTCGGGCACGGATCAATCGATTTGAAATAGTAAAAAATCATTCGATTCTTACTGATTAGTTTTAGGTAGAGACGTGCTGATTAGTTTTTGGCAAGGACAGATCCAGCCCGTTCGGAGATACGAAGCATAGAGTGCAGAAATAGAAATTAAGTTTTTGAGAGAACAGATCATCCGATTTGAATGATTCAAAAAACGTTTAGATCGTAATGATGAAGAGAAATAGTGATTAGATTTTGCCGAAGAAAGGTGCAGACGATATAGGGCTAAATGTGCAAAAATTGGTAGTTTTTGAGGGAACGAAGCATCCGATTTGAATGATTGGAAAAACCTTACACTTGTATTGACAAAAAGCAAAAAAAAATATATTTTTTTAATTTAAATTCTAAAGCTCACTTGGAATAAGTAATTTTAACATTTTAATTCAGTTTATATAATTTTTAGAAAAGTGTAACTCCGCTTCATTAAGTTTTTTTTATTTACTTTATATTTATTTTATATAAACGTCATCGTCCAATTTATGAGCTTATATATTTTGTCTATAAAATAGAATATTGAAAGTTACAGTATTTATAATAATATATTTGAAAACCTTCAACATTTTTCGTATATTTCATTACAATACAGGAAGTTCCAGCAATTTGCCTAATGGCACGATGGCATACATCACTAGTTCAAATGAAAATTGATATTACTACTGCATACCAAGTTACCCGCGGAAGTTTGAAATCACAACCTTGTGTGTGTGCGAGTGTGCGTGTGTGCATGTAATGTATACATTTTTCCTATACTATTAGTTTATTCTATCTGAAGTTTATTATAAATTGTATAAAATGTTTATTGTATATTTATTAAATTAAATGTATACATTTTAATATAATATATATTAATATTTTTAATTATTTAGTTATCTGACCTTAAAGATAAAATTATTTTTATGAACTTTTGAAACAAATAAAAAAATCTTTATTTGTTTAGTTTGAAACAAATTATAAAAAAATTAAAAGATTAAATCATAAAAACTATATTTTATTACTACTTGCAAATAAACATAAATAAGATAAAATGAAAATGATCTATTTATATGAAATTGTGTTGAATTAGTTCTATAAATAATATTATAATTAAATAACATATACTATTTTATTTAAATAATGTATTTATATGTACATTAAAATTTGTAATAAAATTTACAAACAACAATTTTCATCATTAAAAATGTTTTTATTATATTTTTCAGATTATCTGCAGCTTTAGATGAAATGATTATTTTTAGTTACAATTTGTGTTGTGTTTTATTTTAAAAAATATAACTATTATTATGTAATATTATAATTTATGATTGTGCTTTCTGTTTTATGTTATATTTTTGTTTTTAGATAGATTGACTAATTTTAGGTAAGTTTGTTTGTCATTATTGTTTTTTAAAAATCACTTATATTTCTTTTACATTTATCAGTTGATTTTAATATTAATATTTTTTATTAGCGTTGTTTGATGAAATTTTATTTGTTTATTAAATATTAATAATTTGATTAATTTAAAATTCTTCTATTACTGTTCTTTTATTTGAGTAAATGTATATTTCAGAAACAGTATCCTATAGTATACAGGAAAATTTAAAATATTCGATTTTTGCAAATAAATAACATTTGTAATGTAACATTTTTTAATAGCAGTTTTAGATGTTTTTACTAATTTAGTTGTTTGATGTTTCAGATCCATCCAGCTTAAATTTTGATGACTTAACTTTTTTAACCTGTTCGAAGTGCTGGAGGTCTTTCACGGAGTACCTGCCTTTCAACCGCCACATTTTGAATTGTTCTGCATCTCATCCAGAAGTAGATGAAACTAATAAGAAATTTCAATGTCTAAAATGTGGAAGAAGGTATATTAATAAAATCAAATTTTGTGCCTTTTATATTTTTAAAATATTCCAGAATTAATTAGTTCATTCAGAACTTTCGACTAGAGTTTGTACTTTTCCTAGAAAACATAATTCTATGGTCTTTATTTAAATTTTACATCGTTTGTCATGTTTCAAATTCTTGTCATTTAATTTACTTACATTATTATGATATAAATAAAAAATATTACTAAACCTAAATGATTTATTTTATTACAGATACAAGAACCAGTGCACTTTGTCCAGCCATATAAAATACGAATGTGGTAAAGCTCCACATTTTTCCTGTCCAATTTGCCATAGAAACTTCCACGTAAAGTCGAATATGAAAAGACATATGAAATATATACATTCTAAAGATGATATCATAACAAATTGAATGATTCCAAAGCTTAACCTAGTCATTTTATATTTAATAAATTTAAGTATACTTGTAGCATATATACATAGATTTATTTAGTTCTTACTTTAGACGTTTCTAGTCCAATTTAGCCAAACTGCATAGGTTAGTTGATTTAGTTATATTATGACTTATTCCCAAATTATGATCTTAAAAATCTAAAAATATTTATTTTATTTTTATGAAATATAAAGACAACATTTAATGGAAATATTTTAAATTACTTACATAAATATTTTAAGCTTGTGGGTGGCGTATGTTTGTGATTTTTATTTTATCTTAATTTTAGATTGCATTGGATTTTGAATCAATATATATATATATATATATATATATATATATATATAAATTATTTCAAAAGTTATAGTCTGAATTTCTTATAGTCTTTTCATACCAAAGTGTTTCCTCTATTTCTAGTTTGAATATTTATTGGGACTGTAAATATACCAAATATGTATGAAATATCTTTATGCCAAAGATAAGAAAATAGTTATATATAATTTATTTTAATACAATAAATTAAAAAAATATATACAAATAAATATTTCAGATTTTTTTATTGTTTGTCTTAATTTTTCAGAGAAGCGCAATTGCAGAAATAGAAAATAGTTGGAAATAATCATTAGCAGGATTTGTACATGTAAATTTATTTTGTTGTGTTAATTTTAGAAATGAATTTTGTTTAATTAATTTGAATTTATTTTGTGTAAATGATATAAATAAATGAATCTTGGAAATAAAGCTATTATTTTTGGTACATGTGCTCTTTAGTTTCCTGATTTTTTATCTCTGGTTTATAATAACTTGATTTTTATTTCAGAGTTTTTTCATTAAAAATTTTTCTTGTGTCATTATTTTTCTAATTATATTTATTTTTCTTTTTCAGGGGTTTCAAAAAACAAGGACACAGAGAGCTACATATGTCTCAGAGGTGTTAGAAAACCAAATTTTTAAGTCGAAAGAAATATACCCATTATTCTATATAAGTATATTATTATATTAGCAGTATGGTGACACATATGAAGTTGCAATGTGGGGTAGAACCTCAACTCAAATGCGAATATTGCAATAAAAAGTTCCCATTCAAAATAAATTTTGACAAGCACCTTAAAATTTACATTTAAAAAAAATACAATCTCATTACAGATGCATTCAAAGAGCTTTTATTTTAAATATGAAATGTGATTTTTTAACAAAACATTGCACAAAACTGACAAACGATAGCCCTCATCGAGATACATCAAATAGCTTTTAAATTTCTGAAAACGGTTCAGGCGTTTTTGAGCAAACGTCGATGAAAGGTCTAATTTTAACAAACGCCAAAAAAACGATACTAATTTTTTAAAATTAAACGATTTGTCGTAGGGCCTTCAAGTTTTAGTATGATATAGATTCTATAAGACCATGGTATCTATCGTCAAAAAAAATTCATAAAAATCATCGAAAAAATTTGTTTTAGCATTTTATTACAAGAGAACGACCAGGGCGATATTTACCAAAAACTAATCAGGTCGATTTCCAACCAATATCTTTCGAACAGTTTTTGAATTTTCAAAATCGATTCAGAATTGCGGGCTGAAACGTGGACGAAAATCTTTCCACTTTTCTGCTATTTACAAAGAAGCGGCTTGGCTGATCGTCGCGCAAAATTGATAAACGCTAGTCCTCATCGAGATACATCGAATGGATTTAAAATGTTTGCAATTGATTCAGCCGTTTTTGAGAAAACTTGGATTTACGGCAAAAAATCTGTTCACACACACACACATACATACTTTTTTCCAAATTTGGTCTTATTCGATTCAGAATGGCTTGAAACGTCGATAAAACATAAATTTGTGTCGGATTGTAATAAATATTATTTGTTCTACTACAGATAGGTTAGCCATTGGGTTACCATCCAAAATATTGCGTACAAAGAGAAGTTCAAGCAAAACAACTCATAGAATGTAGTCAATTTTTTTTTCTAGTATACTTGATTTTTTTTAGTAGTAACTGACGTGTGCGTGATAGTACTTACTATATTTCTGTCTTGATTTGTTCTTTAAACCAATATTTTTTTCTTGATTTTCAGAGTATAGAAATCATCGTCCACTCACGAGTCCTTACAAGCTTCGCAAGAGTGCCCTTGTAATGCATACAATTAGCAAATATCAGTGTACAGAATGCCAGAAAAATTATTCAACACTGGGAAGTCTACAAAGCCATATTAAGTTTCAATGTCAGAAAGAACCACAATTCGAATGTATTATTTGTGGCAAAAAGTGCTATTATAAAATAAATTTGATTAGGCACTATGTGAAGCATGAAGTCAAGCAGAAAAAATGAAATCGACTTTAGGCATAGAAATGTTGAAGTAAATCTCGGCAATATTAGGTTTAGCCATAGATATTTTATATTTTGTCTGACAAGTCATTGTGGCAGACTTGACGATTTTTGTCTGACAACTCTCAAATTCGTTAATTTTATCGACTTCAACGATAGGAGAGACTGGGTACGGTTCTGTCAGGGTACGGTAGTGACAGTCGTCATAACAGCTGACATAGGGTCTATCAAGTTTGATCAAGAAATCATTGAAAGATCAAGTATGTTCGTTCGAACAAGTTTCCATTATTGCATTTAGTCTGTGCTCTACATTAACATGATATGCAGATCGCATTGCTCTTAACCATCTTTGAAGTGTGGACTTTGAAGTGTGGATGATTTGATTTCATGACTAATTTTATGACTTTTTAGTTTTTACAATGTTATTATAAATTATATTAATTGAATTAATTACAGTAAAATTCAACACTAAAACGATATTAAGCATAACATTAGTATTATGAAATGCAATAACTTCAAAAAAACAATGTTATGATATTGAGAAAGTCTATGTGAGATTTGTTCAATTTTAATTTAGACAAGTGTTCAAATTATCATTTATTTTTCTCCCAGCTAACTGGTGAATTAACATAATTATGGCAGAAAAAAGTTGTACAAATGTACCCAGTCTTCACTATTATTAAAATTAATTACATATGAAATTAGTTTTTCTAATTAATGGTTTATTTAGCAATAACAAAATAACAATATTTATTTGATCATACAAGATCAATATTTCTTGTATAGTATACTAAGATAGGAATATACTAAAATAGGAATCAAATGATCTTTATAATTTGCTAGTTAATATGGATGTATTGAATATTATTATTGTTATTGAATTTAGCTAGAATTAGTAATAAATATCTTATATTTTGACTGATTACTTTTCAATCGAATCTTAAATTCGTTATCTTAATTTCTTATATTATTACTCAATACCTTAATAATTAATTAAGGTATTTAAATTGTTGTTTTAATAGTCCAGTCATTTGGTCGTTTTGCCGGTACAGTACTCCGGGAATTCTGAAAATTAGTAATCTTATAGATTTCGAGGTGCTCTTTACGAAAATCAACTTTGCCACCTCAAATTTGAACGGCAAGTTGCCGCCATATTGAAAAAATGGCGTCAAAAAACAGCTTTTTTAAAATATCTCCTTTCTGGCTCATTCTACGATAAAAGTATATATGTACGAATTAAACTAGAGAAAATTTTCTACAATTCCTTAGAAAACCGTTTTTTTGTAAAATTGATAGTTTGAGAGTACGGCCGCCTCAAAGTCTTTGCTGCTCTCGCCGTAGTGTCAAATCTGTCCATATGTGACAGCACTTCGAACTTGACCACATTCTCTCTAATAATTAATATTTTCAATGTTAAATTAAGCGAATAAGATCTAGAAATAAAATAATTCAAATATTTTTCTGTTTTTTTGCTGATTTTTTAATGCTTCAAGCTACTTGAAGCTATAAGGTGCTACTCAAGCTATAAGTATACTTATAGCTACTTTGCCATTGAAGTGTTAAAAAATTAGCAAAAAAAAAAACAAAAAATATTTGAATTATTTAATTTCTAGATCTTATTCGCTTAATTTAACATTGAAAATATTAATTATTAGAGAGAATGTGGTCAAGTTCGAAGTGCTGTCACATATGGACAGATTTGATACTACGGCGAGAGCAGCAAAGACTTTGAGGCGGCCATACTCTCAAACTATCAATTTTACAAAAAAACGATTTTCTAAGGAATTGTAGGAAATTTTCTCTAGTTTAATTCGTACATATATACTTTTATTGTAGAATGAGCCAGAAAGGAGATATTTTAAAGAAGCTGTTTTTTGACGCCATTTTTTCAATATGGCGGCAACTTGCCGTTCAAATTTGAGGTGGCAAAGTTGATTTTCGTAAAGAGCACCTCGAAATCTATAAGATTACCAATTTTCAGAATTCCCGGAGTACTGTACCGTCAACAGCCTTTTTTTGCACCAAATGACTGGACTATAAGTGCATCTAGGTAATTTTAGATAATTTTAGGCTCAGTAATCTATTTTTTTTATATTTTAGATGAAAATGTAATTAATAGTAAGGACTAATGTAGTCTTTTTTATTTCAAAAACCGGGATTTGAATGGAAATAATTATTGTTGTTTTAAGTGCATTTAGGTAATTTTAGGTAATTCTAGGCTTAGTAATCTATATTTTATATTTACTGTGAAAATGTAATCATTAAACGACTAATGTAGTTTATTTTATTTAAAAAAACAGGATTTGAATGGAAATAATAGTGGTTGTTTTAAGTGCATTTAGGTAATTTGGGGTAATTTTAGGATCAGTAATCTATATTTTATATTTGGTGTGAAAATGTAATAACAATAGTAAAGGACTAATGTAGTCTCTTTATTTCAAAATCATATATATATATATATATATATATATATATATATATATATATTTACTGCCTTGTGTGGGCAGGATCGCGAGTTCGAACTCCCGCTTTGGATCATGCAGAAGTAATGTCAATTTTCGAATAGAGTTGGAGTTTAACTCAGCTATATATATATATATATATATATATATATTATATATATATATATATATATATATATTAGGGTAGTCCTTAATATGAACATTTTCGAATTTCTTTGCTCCCAAGGGATCAAATGCTTCAAAATTAATAAAAAAAAGTTCCTAATAATAATAACATTTAGATAATGCGCAATTCAATCAAAGCTTCGTATGAAAATAGCATGGAAAATTTTTGAAAATTTTAAGAATGTTTTTTAGGTATAACTTAGCGATAAATGAATTAAAAGTGACAATTCGTGTCATCTTTTATTGAAAATTCGACGCTTTACAAAACAGGTTTTTTTATAATTTGTTTTGTAGAGCGTCGAACTTTATATAAAACATATTTATTTGATCGCTAAGTTATATCTAAAGCACATTTTTAAAATTTTTGAAAATTTTTCCATGCTATTTCCATACAAAAATTTGATTGAATTGCGCACTATCTAAAAGACAATATTAAGAGCTAGAGCTATTTGGAAGATTTTTTTTATTAATTTGGAAGTATTTGAGCCCTTAGGAGCAAATAAATTCGAAAATGTCGATATTAAGGACCACCCTAATATTCATATATGTTATATACATATAACAAATTTACTCAATATAAACTTTCAATTAAATTTATAAAACAATATTTACTATAACATTATATACTTAAATCTTAAATATATTTTAAATGTATATAGTGTTTTATTTTGTTATTATAAATCGATATCACAATTTTACACAAATTTAATATTGTTTTCAGAATCACTGATATTACATTTTTTATAAACTGTAATATTTGTGAACAAATAATTGTCATTGTGAAATTGTTTCTAACTACTAAATTATATTTTTAGGCATTTACCAAGAACCTTCAATTGCAAGCAATGTGCTCTATCATTTTTCCTCAGAATTGTCTAGTAAGGAATGGGTATGTGAAAATTGCGGAAAATCTTACAGCACTCGTGGAAACTTAGCTAGACATATCAAATTTGAGTGTGGAAAAATGCCAGAGTTTCAATGTAAACTCTGCAACAAGCAAATGCATCAAAAAGGAAATATCATACATCACCTAAAAAGTAAACATAAACTTAACGATTTGGAAGAATTATCTCACTATTACACAAGGAATAGAATTAATGAAGTAATGAAGAAATCATAAATGAATTAACTGGATGTAATTCAAAATATTTTGAATGCAACTTGGTAAAGTTGATGAATTGATGATATGTTATGAAATAACTGAAAACTAATTAGTTGGTTGTGAATAAAGATATTTTAAATCTATGCAATATGATGTATTGATAATTAAAAACTGGATGAAATTGATGACCTTTTTTTACACTTTGTTTAAAATAGCTGCCATTTTTTTCCTTCTTGTTTTATTTCTTTCATTTTGATAGGGGGACTGGATTCAAACTTCTTCTTCAACGTAGTTTCTTCTTTTTTTTGTTTCAGGCGATGCGCAACGGATTTATCTGTGGCACCGCAAAAGAGATCGATTTTGCAAGGCCGACTTTGGCGCCTCCTGGTTAAAAAATAAAGGCAAAAAAAAAGAAGAAAATTTCGTAATATTCTATGATTACGATTTTGTTTTAAAAAAACGGATGTCTCTATGATAAATACATTTCGAGAAAAACAAAAACAAATACCTTGCATTTTTTGTAAAAAAAAAACGAACAACCCCCTTAAATCTGTTACTGCGCCTTTGCTTTGGGAAGGAAGCGGTCGCTTTCTAATCTCACAGGCTGTTTTACGACCTTTTAGGTATACGAGTCAAAATGATGCCATTGTGTATTTTCCAGAAAATACAAAAATATTACTTTAAAGAACAATGAAATTGTTTTCGTGTGAATAGCTCAAATGTATAATTTATTGAATAGTAAGGGGTCACGACAATCTTCGGCCGTGAATAAAATACCTAAAAAACATTTTTTTAATTTTTCCATGCTATTTCCATACAAAAGTTTGATTGAATTGCGCACTATCTAATCTCTACGGTTATTCAGATGCTACATAAAAAATTTAAGACAAAAGTAATATACACATCAAGCCTGACATTTATAAATAATTGATGGTTAAAATTCATTATAATTTCATACTTTTGTCAATTTAAGTTACAAAATAAAATTACAAAAATAAATTTGTACAAAAATACACATTAGTGTACTATTACTTTAACTAAGACACGGTTATTTTGTCAGAGCCAATTATGGCTCTTACAAATTTCTCATATTTTTTTTCATAATTATTTTTTATAAATAAACTGTTTTAGTACGCCTAATTACTTTATTTGATTTGAAATACTTACTTTACCTAATTATTTATACCGTAAAACATGTCAAATAAAATCTATCACCTTTACATATTTAAAAAAAAAAGTATATGAGAAATTTTCATTGTATGACTGCCATTATATCAGTTATATAATATGATACATGGCGCAAACTAGTCCCGAGTTCGATTCCAATTTCAACCAGCTCGATATCGAGCTGTATTCTACCAAATTTCTACTTGATGTTATATATCTTAAATATTATCGCAAGTGAAAATCGTTCTTTGTGGGCATTGCTGCAACACATACACGTCATCACTATTAGATATACATATGCAATATATATAAAAGACATATAAAAAAAGAGTATTTGACCGTTGGGTTACCTGCTATTGGTCTTACATATAATCTTAAGTGAAAATCGTACTTTGTGGGCATTGCTGCAACACATAACGTCAACACTGTTAGGTATAAGTTTTAATATTTATAGTCGATACTTAAAAAAGAAGAGTGTTCGACCGTTGGTTGCCCTATTGATCAAAATACTAAGTTGGAATGTACGATACCAAACTTATCTTTTAAAACACGTAGTTTTGATTGCTATTAAAAAGTTATGATACATTTCCTATGTATAAAAACTTTTTGATTTTATTGCAATGAAATATGAAAATGATTTATAATTTCAGATAGAAGATATTTCTTTATATTTTGTACTACTATTATTGAAGTACTTATTGAAAATTATTAATGAAAAAAATCTTGCTATATTTGAACAAATACACATTACTAGGCAAGTTTTTCTTATTAAATTTAATTTATATATTTTGCAAAGAAACATTTTAAAAATTCAAAAACATGACAAAACATTGTTATACCTTGAATTTGTTTAAGATATCATCGAAGGGTCAAACCAGAGTTTACTGGTAACAAATTTGGTTGAATTTCTGTGTTTTAATAATATTACATCTTTTTAACTTCCCGTAGGGCAAGTTATAGTAATCGCAAAATGTTTAATAGTAAAAAAATCGAAAATGAAATTTTTTATATATCTTTACGTTTCAAAGGTTTCTGAACATTTTGGCATACCTTAGAAAAAATGGATGTATGTGTGTGTGTGTGTGTGTATGTGTGTGTATGTATGTGCGAATACAAATTTTCGTCGACAATTTCGAGAACACGAATCAACCGATTTGAATAATTTAAAAAATATTCGATTTATATTGATAAGGAGACGTGCTGATTAGTTTTTGGCAAAGGTAGGTCTAGCCGTTCCGAAGATACGGGGCAAAAAGTGCCGAAACGGTAACTCAGTTTTTAAGAGAACGGAATAATTCAATTTGAAATAATTTGAATATTTTGAATAATTCAAAAAACATTTTATTTGTATTGACTAAATGAAGAACTATTCAAAATTTTGGAAAGGCAGGTCCAACGACTTAGGAGATATGGAGGAAAAAGTAAAAAAATGAGCCATTTGGCGGTCAAAACTGATCATTACACATATGCACATCAAATTATCAGATATTTTATAGAGATTAACTATTCAAATTTTGGAAAGGCAGGTCCAACGACTTTGGAGATATGGAGGAAAAAGTAAAAAAATGAGCCATTTGGCGGTCAAAAATGATCATTACACATATGCACATCAAATTATCAGATATTTTATAGAGATTTTAACAATAAGTATAAATTTTGTTTACATTCCCATGGGTTCCGTACCAATGTTTACGCGTTAGACGGCGATGCGGCGCTTACGCGTTTTGATATTTCGTCTTTATGCAGTGAAAGCAGTACGATTGCTTTGAAAAAACCTTCAGAATTTCCAAAATATGTCAAAATGAAGAAAACTTTTTTTGTTTTCAAAAAAAAATTGTTTTCAAAAAAAATTTTTTTTTTTTTAAAGTAAATTTTTTGTCAAATTTATAGTTTCTCTAAAATCTAATATTTTCGTAGTAAATTTTTTTCAAAAATGTTAATTGTTTTTAAACAAATGATAATTTTTGGTACGGGAAGTTCCAGCAATTTGCCTTAAGGCACGATGCCTTAATTGCCTTAAGGCAGAATTCCACTTACAGCTAGTTTTTGTTATATATTATAAATTCAGAATGAAGCCAAGTCTAATGTTACTATATTTTAAATAAATATTCCATTATTTTATAATTCTTAAATGTACCTTCATTAATTTTTTATCTTCTATTCTAAGGTAATTCAAAATAAACTTATGAGCCGTTATATATGTTAAATTATGGTTCCTCTTTTATATGCGAGTGCCTTATGAAAAAGAGATGGCTATACTTTCCGAAAAACTACCCTTTGTATGTCTCTTTCTACCATCCCCAAAACAGGTATAGTTGAGACCCTTATAAGCCTCTATGTCAAAATCAAAAAATACCCTCGTAGTTTTTTTTTTAAGTTTTAGTTTAGTTAAAGTTGAGATGGAGTTTGATGTTATACAGTTATAACTGAGTCAAATATAAGGAAAAATATTTTGTAGTCTTGTGTGATTAGAATGTGAATATGTAATATAAATTGATATTTTTAAAGTGTTTATGATATATTTTAGTACAGTACAGTTTCAATACTGTTTAAGATAGTTTTATGAAAAAGTGTCAAAACATTATTAACTAATAATAAGTACCTACATTATGCTTTTATAAGGCTAAAAGTTTAAATTTAATAAATAATATAAAATATTCAATAATAAATATAAATTATGTTATTGAGTGAAATAATTGTTTGTGTTGTCAATCGATAAAAGTGAAATTCTTGATATTTGTTAGGTTTGTTAGATTATTTTATTATTTTCTATGGAATTTATAATATAATCACGTGAGCAGTTTTCTATGCATTATATTATGTATATATATATATATATATATATATATATATATATATATATATATGTATATTTCTAATTTATTTATTATATTGTATGATTCTGAATTTGATGTTGACATATGTATTAACAAAGTTTAGTAATCGGGCATAACATCAATAAAAAACATGAATTTCTTTCAAAAATTTATTTTACATTCATACGTTTCGGCTATAATTTTAGCATTCATTCAGTAGAAACTAAAAATAAAATTAAAAGCTAAAACAATTGAGTTGGAGTCAAAATAAAAAAATATATAAAGAGTAAAAAGTACTTACGTAATATATATTAAAATCCATTAGTTTGTGTTGTAATCTTAACCTTCATTAAGTAGAACTAAAAAATAAAATGAGTAAATATGATATTTTAAACATAATTTGAATTTCGATGACATATTTCTCTTAATTAGTGTAGCCAAAACGTCAGGAATTTAAAATAAATTCAGAAAAAAAAATCATAGATCTTTTATAGATTGCATATGTATCTTTAGACTTTTTAGCCCATATATTAATTATTATCAAAATATTCGACATTTATATTTCTAGATTTTTTGAAGCTTACTCGAAAAGCTTGATTTTTTACTCCTTCGGACGTTTATATACCTGTAATTTTTATATGTTAAGTAATTTTTGCGGACGTGATTGACATAAGATTGTGATTATATATTTTTTTTTAAATAAAATTAAAATTAATTCAATCAAGAATGTCCAAAATAGAGAATATGTATTTTGCAATAGTTGTCAAACAAGTTGCTTAGTTTTTCCAACATAAGGTATTTTCGGTACAAAAATAAAACAAAATTTTCCAAGACACTTTAAAAATAGTGCAAATATTATAAACTTAGTCTTGAAACTAGTGGTGCATGGTATCGTGTTTTAAGGCAAATTGCTGGAACTTTTAGTACCAAAAATTAAAATTAAAAAAATCTA